ATTTATTACTTCATTTCGTTCTGAAGATGCGCGCTGTAGATGACGGTTGGACGCACATAAAAATTAATTGAAAACGTATGGAACTAATTAAATTATTCACAATCGTTAATTTTCATCTTCATCGCGCTCCCGTTTTGGGGACCGTAATTCGTGGTACACTATTAACTTTAGGAACAAATTTTCTCGACGCCTGTTTGAGAATTTAAAATGCACAATTTAATATGTTAATTTCTGTGTACGCAACATTGTTAATTACGAGACCCAAGCGGTTTCATTATAAAACCAATTTCTTAACTTTAAGATGCTAGTTCATTACTGTAACGATTGAAATCCACATAAACAATGCTACGTCGATGACTGTTGCTTCCTTTATGCAGTCGCCATACAAAGATGATGATGGTAACTGTTTATCTGTTATTAAAATGTTCGTGCTATGAATCATAAACGTTATAATCCGAGTGTATTAAAAGGAAATGTAAAAAATGTTTTGCTTAAAAGGACCACTCACTTTTATATAAATCTGTTGTTGCTAATTTAAACTAATAAATGTAGCTTATTTACAAAAAAAAATTACTGCGATATGCTTCGCCATAGTGAATCATCAGGCAGATAAATATAATTGTATGTTATTTAAAACAAATAATTATGGAATACCGTGAACGCCGCTACAATTCATATCTTTTGAAATTTTTGGTTTACTTTTGCACTGGAATTTAATTATTTCATCTTGTTTTATTTGTACTTGCGCTTGCGTCACGCACACGTGTACCTATACAGGATGTGCTATGTGATACTGTTTTATATCATTCTCGTGTGTACGACTCATGCAGACGATTAACATTAACATTACGAGCACTAAATAAACCGGCCGGAGACGCGTCTCGCTGGCAAGGTGCATTTTAAAATATGCGAGCATTTAACCGCATTGACTTTGTACCTGGCCGCAGCCACGAGAATGAACATTAAGTTTTGCGGTGGACGCCGGAATTTTTATATATCCTCTGCAGCGGGCATTCCGTACGTAGAACAATAAAACTACAAGCAGAAGAGTTCCACTATCAAGGCATTAAGAGCTATGTAAATTTGTGTGCATTATTCTTGCATTCGTTGCACACTCTTGTGCGCACTGTACGTTGCTCTTGAGTAATGGGAATTTGCTTGCGTCGTCTTCGCCGACCACACCACTTCCTTCATTCTTTTTATGTTCTTCGTGCGCGCCTCGGACATCGACGTAAATGTGGAGTACCGTGTAAAGTATATTACTTTATTTATGCATTTTATAAGAATAAAGCATTCTGAAGCCAATTCACAAAGGTAGCGCATGCGATGTACAAGGCTTCGGCTTGGGGTGTAAATTTCCTGGTTATTTAGCTTACATTACATAACCTAATCTGGTGCATGTAATCAATTTTATTTATGTAGCGTTGATTCGCACACGTTTCACAAATAATGAAACGTCGTTAATACGCTCACGTTTTTACATATAGGGGCGCGTTTTTTTTTTACAATTTCCGTGCTTTCTGCGCGCTTGGAGAGCTCGCTTCTAGCTTTACGTGCCCTATCTCTCCGAATGGTCGCCGTGTGTTTTTTGCATCGTGCGGGTGCGGCGTACGCGTGACTCTTTTGACTCGTGATAATTATTGTTATTGTGTGTCCCATTGTGTGCTGTAGCACCGAGGGCAAAGCTACATCATCGCCAGAGTGCATTGTTTTTTACTACTCTGCAGCTTCACTTACACAGTCACCAGAGCTGATTGGACCACTTGCAGGAGGGCACCTTTTGCAAATGAACAGCCGCGAGTGCAGCGATCTTTGATTGTATGGCACTTTATGATGCGTTCTTTTTTTAACAGTGTTAGAGAAGTAAGTAAAAAACTAAAATGTGATCGTGCGCCGCTGATAAACCTAGCAGAGGTTATAATAAAAGTTCCGACTGTTATGTTGTTTTCTTGGCGGTTAGGCAAACGACGAGTTATACACATTTACAATCGCCCGCAGCTATGCGAGGTGGGCAAGAACGCCATAAGAAAAAGTATATTCGTTGAATTGTTCGTCGGTAGTTTGAATCACTAATGATTACTCGAATGAAGTCTCAAAGAGTTTTCTCGCGCCACACACGTTGCTGCCTTACTAGTTGCGACCGAAGGAATAAGAAGCAGGTATAAAGCACGCGTTGCGAAAGTATGAAAAAAATCAACGGCGACAGTAAAAGCTCCAAGCTAGTGGCCGCACACCGCACGCAAGTCGGTAGGAACTTGGGGCAATTGAAGTCATGTTTTTTTATCAACAAAAGTTGCGTATGTGCAACGCACGTACCTGCACTTAAGTGAAGATATACTATGACATCAGCTTTATATTCTATTGCACAATGGTTTAGTAAAAATATCGTTTTGGCGATATTGTGAGGGTATAGCGTACAGTAAGTGTTTACTTAACTTTACTCAGCTTATTGCACAATACCAGTTTTTTTTTCGAAAGAATTTGGTGCAGTGTACTGTAAAACATTAAAATTTCAATGTTGATTGACAGTCACTTAATTTTGCTTGAAACCATCCTGATTGTACTGTGATTTCTATTGTGATTGTTATTTAGTTAGTGACCGCGTCGCTCCAGTTAACGCGTCATTGCCGAAATGGAAATCCAGCCGAATAATTGAACATTTTGACTAATGACCGTCCGCGCAACCGCTGGTCTCGATAGACGCACGTTTCCAATTACCTAAATTTCAAATATTTACAGTCATGTATTACAGGACCCAGGCACCAGGAGTAAAAATTTATTCGAAACGAACGAGTACGCGGAATTATCCCCACGTGGATTTTAGGCCTTTTGTTATACCATCTTGTGGATTGACAATATTAGTTATTTCTTTATGGTTGGCTTATCCATTTTTACACAACGTATTTCAAAATTGCCAAATACAAAAGTGCCGTTTTCAGCGTGGAACAATTCGAAAACAGACTATATACTCGTAAGACTATAAATACATGAGGAAATGCGTCTAGCACGATGGTTCTCTTTTGCTTGCGAAATAGGAATGCGTTTCTCTTTTCGAACAGTGGTCCTCTACAGTTCTCTTCATTAGTGCATCTATGTCTTTCGTGTGTTCCGTTTTATTTATTTGCGCGTTTTCTACGGCCTTCTTACTGTATCTGACTGCTGCAACGTTTACCACTGAATCTCGACAATGACGACGATCTCGGAGCACAGATAATGCGTTGAGTCTACGCGAATCAGCTCCACAAATCTAACCAACCGAAACAGTGTAGGCAATACACTGAATGTTCTCAGCCTAACCTAAATTGTACCGTTTTTATTTAAGGGTGATATTAAAAATGAACATGCTGCCTGGTTCAAAATTCTAACAAGTTTCAAGGAGTGAACGATTTCAATTGTGGACGCGCGTGGTATAACGGATTGATAAGCTTTTGTGGAAACAGTTCGTACTCGGTACGAAATCACGAATTTAGTTTACATTTACATGACTTGTACATAGACCTCTTGGTGGTGCCCTTCGCACTCGCACTGCCATCGCAGCGAATTCCAGTTTGTTATTAACCCATTGGGGATTAGAGGGCGCGCGCCAAGCAGCGGCGATAAGAAATTAAACTCGTAACGATTCGTAACAGTCGCAAGCAGCACGAAGTAGAAACTGTAGGGGTTGCTTGCCTATTCTTTGTTGGGTACAAACAAGGTTCCAACAAAACCGTGGCAACACAAACAGTACAATTGGATATGTGCTACACTATTACAGATGAATTGAGATGCGTAAAAATAAAATAATGTGTTGATTCCTTTTTTTTAAACAGCTTACTCTTTCAGTTTGAAGTGTTCGTAACGGTGCAGGTATTTTTCATAATTCAATGTCATTTTAAAGATCGTACTAGGAAGTTTATCGCAGGAAGAATGCTTGCTGACGTTCTGATCACGATCGGTGAATACTGAAATGCATTTAATGCAACGTGGTGTCATTGTGTTTTATCAGAAGTAAATAAAACACCGGTTGCTATATGTGGAAAGTGCAACGTGACGTCTCACGAATGTGCGATACACGCTACGAATAGTTAAAAGTGCAGATGAAACTATCATCATCGTGACGTAGTTCCAATAAACTGGTTTCCATGTTAGTTTTTTAACCGCGACCAAATAATTGAGAAGGCATTTTCTCTTGTTATCTTAAGCATATTATATCATCTAACAACATTTATTTAACGCGAAGATGATAGGTATCATAGTGTACTCGTATGAAGGTTACACAAAGCAACCGAAAAGCAGAAACTTTCTCGTGAATGATTCAATTGTGAATTTATTATGATAAAATACTCGAAGTAATTCGAAAAACTGCCAGCGTCAGTTTTTTTGAGACACAAAAATTGATTCTTGAATCATAGACAACCCAAGCCGTGACTAAAGTACTTTTTAATGTATTTAATGAAAACCGCTCCTTATGAAAAAATTCAAACACTATTTGGGAGTGCTGTATTTATTATAATTACCGCCAGTGTCAATTGTACTTCTATGGAGTATAACTTTATTAGGTTCCCCGCATTCGTATCCCGCGAAGATTTCCTATGATGCGGTGTATTTTAGTTTCAAAATAACATTCGGTGGCTCTCTCTTTTGCTAGGGTTGTATATAAAATTTAATTTAAAAATAGCATCTCTCGTTAAACGGTACCAACATCGCAATAAGATATATTGTAATATCTATATCATCACACCGAGGCTTATTGTTCCCATATCATGTACGTTTTGTAAGAAAACTCTTCCCAGACGGAAATATACCATTCGAAACTCAAAGTAAGAAAATTAACTCACAGCAGGATGCGCATAAAGGAAGGGAAATTTATAAACACCTACGCATTGAGATTGCTTTCTTCCTATGAAAACAAACATAAAATAATAATAACTTTGCAAAAACAGGACACTTAACAATCTGTAATACCTAATCTGTTTTAGTTGACAAGCACTTATTAACGATTTTTATTCTTTTGTTTGCAGACAAAACCAGTCATGATTACGAAGTATTTGATTGTCTTAATGCTGGTGGATACGTCGCTCGCGCTGACCTGCCCTACTGGCTGCGAATGCAACGACGACACCTATGTCGTCAAATGTGAGAGAAGCAAACTGGACGTTCTCCCCATCACGCTCAACCCAGCCATACAGCGTTTAGTACTACGAAACAACAAGATTAAGACGGTGGATGGTGCCGCTTTCCAGTTCTACAGAGATTTGCAATACGTCGATCTCTCTAGCAATCACCTAATCAATATTCCCACCAAGAGTTTTCTGCAGCAGGATAAACTACAAGAGCTGCACCTCAACAAAAATAAATTATCTATGGTGAATAACAAAACGTTTCAAGGTCTGAAGTCCTTGACGGTGCTCAACCTGCGCGAAAATTTCATTCAGGAATTACCGCACGGGCTCTTCTCGATACTGCCCAAGCTCGAGGAATTGAATCTGGGACAGAATCGCATCTCGAAGATAGACGCTCTAGCGTTCGACGGTTTGCTAGCACTGCGCATTCTCTTCTTGGACGATAATCAACTGACGTCCGTGCCGACGCCGTCGTTTTCCGTAATGGGTAGCTTGGCGGAATTGCACGTTGGACTCAATGACTTTACTGTTCTGCCAGACGATTCGTTTGCGGGTTTGGGCAAGTTGACCGTGCTGGATCTAAGCGGTGCTGGGCTCTCCAATATCAGCGAGAACGCCTTTCGGGGCATGACTGGCTTGCGCAGTCTTAACTTGGCAGATAACCGCTTGCGGACGGTTCCCACACAACAGTTGTCGCACCTGAACCGTTTGGAAGAACTCACCATCGGTCAAAATGAATTCGTCGAACTGGAAGAAAACTCTTTCAAAAACTTGAATAATTTGCGCAAACTGGACGTCACCGGTGCGTCGTATCTTGAACGCATTGCCAAAGGAGCGTTCAACGACAACCTCAACCTGGAAACGATCATACTCGCCAGCAATCGCAAATTACAACGTATTGATGATGGTGCCCTGGTGGGACTGCCCAATTTGCGGCATTTGACATTACGAGAAAACTCGTTCACTAGCTTCGCCGAATCGATGCTTGCGTGGAACGAATTACGCTCGCTAGAGCTCACCGACAACCCAATTCACTGCGATTGCCAGTTACTGTGGCTGGGAAATCTTCTCGCCATGAAGAACCTCACCACCGTGCAGTGTATGTCACCGCCTCAGTTGAAGGAGAAGACACTGCGCACTCTGAGTGCTGACGACCTCGGCTGCTCATTTCGCGACCCTCGACAGAAGGCTATCCTGGTGACGCTGTGTGTGAGTGCACTGCTTATCGTTTGTATTATCGGGCTGCTGCTCTTCAGGTATCGTCAGCGAGTGCGCGAAGCACTTAAACAGCACAAGTGGAACAAGCGCACCCCCATCAGCCGCAAGGAGCACGAATACCAGAAGACATTTTCCGATGAAGAGTTCATCATCCGCCATGCACACCAGCACAACCTGAAGCCAATACCGGTGACGGAATTGTAGCTAGAATTGAGCGCGCCGCCGACAGGAGTATTTTGCGTCGATGGAATTGACGTGGGTGGGCGGCGTGCTAGGACTACACCACGCGGTGCTGGCGGAACTCTGCCTGTTACCGGGTTTACATACATCACTGGCGATACATGCAGAGCGCACACACTTTCACGGACACTGAACCATGCCGATGGCAGTCATCGTGGTACTAATGGGTTTCCAAGATATCTTCAACATTCTCACAACCATCACCGAGATATTTACCAACAGTAATAATAACACGATGTGAAATAAAAGTGTGAATTTGCACGCGTGCGATGACTCCAAATGATCGGACATTTAAAATCCGTAAAAACAGAACGATATATAAATAATAAGTTATCTAACCAACATGCAAACTAATAATATAAATTATATGAAATCCATTCCACGATGTGATTTTTACGAAATTTTAGAGACTGTACAGTATTTAGAGTTTAAGATTACTCGTAGCTATGTTGGTGATTATTACATATTATTATTATTTGAGAATCAACAAGGCAACTGTACATTTATCCGACGAGGTATTAGTTTTGGAATGTTGATCGTTTCAAATACATGTCAGCTCTTTGAACTACGAATTTACAAACATGCCAACGTTGCCAGCCAACTTAGCTTCTCAAAATCTTGAAAATTATTATTTCATTTGTTTCATTCGACTGAATAATCGTGTGTTCATTTTTATAATTTTGATAATTGCACTCAAAGTGCAAACTCTTGGGATTCTCTGTAACTACTAATCTACATGATTTGTATAACGCTCATTGTACATAAATAGCGTATAACATGCAATACTAATTCAAAAATTAATCTTACAGAGTGAACTTAAACATTTGAAAAATGAAACATATTTATGAGCAAGTGTAAATAACAAATCAAAAACATTTGATTGTGCGGTTTTATTGCATTTCATTTACTATGTAAGCATGGTTGTGATTAATTTCCAGTGTAAAGTTTTTATTGTAACGTTTCATTATGTCTACTTTTGTATCTTAATATGTTTTATAACATTGTGTTTACTTTCTGTACATAGAAAATTATGATGAACCGAAGAGAACTTTTAAAAACTTCAACAATTTATAACACTATCGTGTGGGCCGACAGCAGAAATTCCCGTACACGATAGTTTTCGAAGATACTAGTCAACATCGTCGTAATTAATATACGATTAATATAATTATATGGAAATTACGTATAAAATGATAATAGAGATCGCATGTTTGTAGCATATTTTTGTGACTGACGACTGAATGATAGGCGAATTATTATATTCTGTGTGCGTGGCAAACGAAAGCGAATGCGGAAACGTACAAAACAAATGTGAACAAGTTTTATATTAATTGTATATATTAAGATTAATCTGATATGAATAAACTGATAGAGTTTTTGTACATATAATAATTATTGAATTATAAACGACAAGCAACCAACAACCAACAAATAAAAATACATTAATAATAACCGATTGTATTTCTAACATTCCTTCCTAACTTCCGTAGCTATTACGAACTATTGAATGACCCACCGTATTTAATTTCGTTCAAATTATTTCTTCGTCTAGTTGTACAGTTTATACATTAATTTTATATATTTACTATGTTTTTCAATATCGTAAATCTTCATATCTGGATCAATTTCTCCGAGACGTTCATAACTCTCAACCACAAAATCTTTAAAACCTGCCTTCGCTGCGCACTTCTGCGAAATAATCGACGAGAACGCTGTAATAGTGCCGGTGATCCCCACCGCCCGACACAGTAATTCGCGTGCATGAAGCAGTTTCTCCCCCAGTCCATCCCCACGATAATCTGGTAACACGTAGAGCCCCATTGCCTTCATACAGGTAGGCAGGTGGAACTCCTTGTGGAAATCGCGCTGCTGCTCAACATAATCCAAAACTTTGAATAATCTGCTAATTGAAACGCCTGTGATCTGCAATTGTGCCCTAATTTAAAGCGACTTCACGTCCGCGCGCTTTTTATTCAACAATTCAAACTTACGTTATAATCATTCTTTTCGCCATCTTTAGATTCTGTCAGCACATTAAAACCTGCTAGTTTGACGTTATTTTGGTCGTCCTTGGTCATGCAAGCAATTGAATACTTTTCGTGAAGCATTTTGATCCAGAATTGTTGAAACTCTTTCATGCTGGTTGGGTCATCTTTACACTCTGGTTCAAATACAAATTCCATTTATCATTAATACAAATGACAATTTGTATTACGACAGGGCAATAAAAAAGAACTTACTTAAATATTTTGTAGTTGGTTCGTCTCCGATAAATCTTTCTGTGAGATTTTCCATAATTTCAGAAAACATGTCTTCAGTAGCATCTTGTATCCAGTATTTTCTATATTTTCCATTGATTTCGATTTTACCGTCGAAAGAACAGAAAACTTGAGGATATTGTCGTTCTGGCATTTTGTTATTGGAGTCACCATACAACACACACACGGCCTTCAGTTGAACAACTGAACGCAACCGGATTTCGTTAGAGTGTTATATCATAGATGAACCAATGACGCAATTTAATTAAACACACTGTATTTAATTTTGCTCTTTGTTGATTTACCTGTGAAACCGGTTTCACCTTGCACAAATTATGTATTATTATACAAAATCAGCTACCAACATAAAGCATATTACATTTATTTAAAACACACATATAAATATTTTTTTAATTCAAATAGTTTATCTAATAGTTGTTGATCTTATTAACTATGATTTTCCTTTGTGTAATAAATTATGTAAACGTTTATTTGTTTTGTTTTACTCCATCTTCAACATTTGTATTAGTATACATACCGCCATCTATGATAGAAATACATAAACGTTTACCATACCGTCATATTAAACGAATGGTCTCAGTCTAGGGAACAGAACATTCGTCGGTAGAGTGCGCCACTATTCGTTAGTGTACTCGTTTAAATCATTACGTTGCTATGGACACCGCCGGAAAAAAATTCAACATGAAACAATAATCACGAAGTATAGATACACAGGAACGTCATGTAAACGAATTGTCTCAATGTTCGACGTTCCCACCGTGATTGATATTAACATGGTCGGCTTTATTTTGAAGTGTCAGTTACCAGGGTGGTACTTTTAAATGAGATTAATTTTTAAAAATTCGATTATTTCTGACATTTTGATTGTGTCAAGGAACGTGCCGTACTCTTAGCCGCCCTCTTCGCAAAATTCATAGAAAAAAATTAGAGATGTATTAGCAAGTTTCATCGTAACATGTATGGTCTGGCACATAATGTATAAGATCATTTCAAATTTTGTGCGAAATACGCACACTTTAACCTCAAGTTTAGGGTATTCAACTAAAGTCCTTTAATCACGGTCTTGGCCATTCGTGATTAAAGTGCAACTTTTCGTGTTTCAAAATTGTGGATAAACTTGCGCTTTAAAAATGAAAGTAGAAAATTGTATATTAGGTATCAAATAAACGGCACCTTTTGGCACGAAATTGATTAAAAGCGAGCGTATCGACCGTTATAAAATGCCGTTTAGCCCACTTGATACTTAAAATACTACTGTTTATTTTATACAAAGTCATCATAAAACTGTGGTAAACCACTTCATATTCCGACTGACCTTTACAAATATCACGTATTCGCGTTATCGTTGTATAGTTGAACGTATACCAAGATTATTTTGGTTATCTTCATTTGAATTGTCCGGCTTGTACGTCTCGTAGAGCATTTATGTTTTTGTGGCGTTAGAAAGATGACTGAAATCGAAAATTTCGTGTTGCCCCTGCATCCGACGCAAAGAAAACCGATGAGCCACTTCACAATGTGGGATAATCACGAAGAACGTCTTAGCAACCTGCAAGAAGTGCATCTTCCTTCCGATGGAGTCACTCCATTGACCATTGACGACGAATCTCAGCAACCTGATATGCCTATTAAAAAGGTAAGCAAAAATCACGTTTTCTGCAATAAGTTTAAAATTTGTTATATGTCATTAGCTTAATAAATACATATTCCTCATTTATGGTATGTTAATTGTTTATTAGAGCATTGGATGTGATCTGTGTGGAATTAGAGTGACAAGTTACAATGTGCTCAAGAGACATTTGGAGGGCAGGCGTCATATAATGCGCGCCGGACGCGAAGGAAAAACGTTCGAGTGCGAGCTGTGCAAGCTTACCGCCAATAGTCAAAGTCAGCTAGATGCACATATGAAAAGTAAGGTATTTTCTTGTCAATATAACAAGGTGCAAATATTTATATTTTTAGGTGTAAAACATAGAAATCGTGTTTTTAAGAAAGAGCACGGATATGATCCATCAAACAAAGGTCTTTGGGTAATCTTGTTTTGCGTTGGTTGTATCTTCCTCAACTTCTTGTTACTATTTAAATTGATGCTATAAAATAGCGAAAGTGCATATTTGCATGATCATCCGCCATCTTAAAAGAAACATGCGTTTTATAAGCCCTCTAAAAACTGTGCCAAATTAAAATTTTATGGTTTTATCAACATCTTAAAATATACTGCGGATATTTATCAGTTTGCAAAGCAAAACGATTAATTTTAAGTGCTAGTAATATTTATTAACTGTTAAGCGGGCGCTTGATTTAAATTCCCTTCATATTTACTAACTATATTCATTATAAATCATTCGCACACATTTGCGCAAATGCTTCATAATTGCTATATAGACTACGTTGCGGTTTAGAACACAACAAATTTAATTAAGAACAAAATATAACCACCTAATGTTGTGATCTCAAACAGTTAGATCGTTTGCAAATATATTTCATTAGCGTTGCAATGATTATAGCTTGTTTACTTAACTATCTCAGCATAGACTATATTTTATTAACTTTTAATAAACATATTGCATCTATTCGCACAATTTCAGTCATGGTCGTAGTCAAATTATCTTTGTAGTAGGAAGCAGTGTGTCTTCATTGTAATAATTAGCATTAATAATTTAATAATATTTCATGTTAATAATATAGTATTGTAAGATTTTGCATGTGTATTCTCTCATTGGCTGACTGCATGTTAAAAATGTTTAATTTGCGAATGTGTTTGTTCTGCGTTTGATAAAAATTGTTCATACATTTAGAGCAATTAATAGGACACAACATTTGATATATGAATTTTGCTATTGGTTTGAAATAGGTTTCATTGTTTTAAACATTTAGATTATGTAAATTTAAATAATTTATGCGAATAGCCTTGTATTTTGGATTATTTTATATGGATATAATGATAAGTGTACTGATTACATAGGATTAAATTAAACATTTAAATAAAGATTATTTATGAAACTTTATTTTAAGTTGAAAACTGATTTAACATTAAATTTAGTTTTGCTGTCAACACTTTTATTCCTACAATTTTTAACATAACCTTTAAGATTAGCATCGTCCCCTCGCATTGTAGAATTAAATGCTTGTCCGTCCTCGTAGACGGTTTTACACTACAAACCTAAATTAAAATAAAGCATTCCAAAATGCGAGAAGAAGAAGTAGACACTAAGAATATAATCAAAAGTCGTGAACTTCTTTACAGATTAATAATAAGGTGATATTAATCTACTTGCTACCTAAAAATATTTATTGACTTAATATTCATTGCAAAACTTTTGATTTTTAGTCAATTATTGTATGATGGCCATCAAAATATTGCAACAAATTTATCCAACATTGTCATGGCAGAACCTGCTTGTTCTCCAAGTGATAGACTGTTACATGTTGTGACTGCAGGCTTGGAACATGAACCTGATAGGAAAGAGAGGCCTGTTAACTTGGGGATTGGAAATAATTCCATTGGACCTGGTTTGGGTAAAGACTAATTCAAATATTTGACATTATTATTAAGTTATTAGCACATCAAATGCATCATTGTAAAGGATATTGTTTGCTAACCAGTTGTAAACTTGTGTCCATATCACAATGTGTAATGTCTTCAGTTACATCCTCAAGAATGTTGTTAACTAATTGTGCCTTTTGTTAAAGATTTGGAGTTTGAAACAGATTCAAGTGCAGCTGCACCTGAACCTGCCCAGTATGAGACTGCTTATGTTACTTCCCACAAAGGCAATTGTCGTGCTGGATGTTTTTCAGCTGATGGGCAACTTATTGCTACTGGAAGTGTTGATGCCAGTATTAAGGTTTGTATAACTTGCAATGAGAAAATTGGTACAGAGCTATTTTCACAGTTTCCACTTTTTTGAACTCGATATAATTTAAAATATGAATAGATTTTGGATGTGGATAGAATGCTGGCAAAATCAGCTCCTGACGAAATGGACCCATCTCGGGGAGAACAACAAGGACACCCTGTTATACGGACATTATACGACCACATGGAAGAAGTCACATGTTTAGAATTTCACCCGCGTGAACCAATTCTAGTATCTGGTTCCAAAGACAACACCCTAAAGCTTTTCGATATTTCTAAAGCAAGCGTTAAAAAAGCTTTTAAAACTATCTCGGTAAGGTACAACAACATATTCATAGAAAATGAAGTAACAAGTTTAAATTATTTAGGAATCTGAGTCAATCAAATGTGTATCATTTCACCCAGCCGGCGATCACATAATTGTCGGTACTCAACATCCAGTCATTCGTCTCTACGATGTCAATACTGCACAATGTCACGTATGTGCCATTCCATCTCATCAACATACCGCCGCTGTGACTTCGTTAAAATGGTCAGCGGATGCAAAAGTATTTGCTTCCGCATCGCGTGATGGCAGTATCAAACTATGGGATGGAGTGTCTAACAAATGCATTAATACTTTTGCCAAGGCGCATGACGGCATGGAAGTCTGTTCGGTTTTATTCTCGAAAAACGGAAAGTATTTGTTATCGGCTGGCAAAAATTCGATTTGTAAATTGTGGGAGTTGACTACCAGTAGATGTCTTATTGCATATACTGGTGCTGGCACAACTGGAAAGCAAGAATTTGAAGCGCAGGCGGTATTTAATCATACAGAGGATTATGTTTTGTTTCCGGATGAGGTTACAACGAGTTTGTGTGCGTGGAATTCAAGAAATGCAAGTCGCAAACAGTTGATGAGTTTGGGTCACAACGGCGCCGTACGATTGATTGCACACTCACCGACGCATGCGGCCTTCTTGACTTGCTCGGATGACTATCGGGCAAGGTTTTGGTTTAGGAGGACACCTACATTATAACTTTTGTAAACACATTAGCATATGTTCATCATATAGTTTGTTTAGACAGATTCATTATTTTTAACCCTTTCATTCCACTTTATGTTATCCGGTCAAATCAATTGTTATAGGATTCAGCCGTTATAAGCTCAGTAAGTTTAATTCTTAAAAGAAAGATTTACTTTAATTATTTCGGCTATATAATAATTGATTAAATTTGTGTACCTAATAGTATGTATAAACAACCAAATAAACATTTGAAATTTTCATAAACATCTTGTAAACGTCTTTTACATAGAAAAACATTGAAAAATATTTTACTCGAAGGTACATGAAGATACACTTTTGATTCGGCGCCATCTTGAATAAAATTACTCACATGCAGAAATCGCATTTAAAGTGCTTAAAGACCACCGCCGCTACGCTCAACTGTAATTTTCTTCTTCAGCTCTTCCTTCTCGTGCTTTTCTTCTTCGAGTTCAGCCATTCGGGCGAATCTTGAATAAGCAATGTGACCTGACTTAATTGCCGACATCATCTAAAAATAAAGAATAATTCAGTATACAATGAAAATTAAATTATTTAAAAATGAAAACAAATGAACACATGCTTTAAATGAAACACACCACACGTAACAAAATGCTATTTAATTTAAATATATCAATACATTCATGCACATCTACACACACGCACACACACACACACACTCCCACACCAGTCATTGGTTAGATTTTTCTGCATTTTTTCATGCAAAGCCGTCTGACCTGCAGGTATTCGTCGAGTTCGACCTGACCATTCATGTTTGAATCGATTTCGCGCAAAATTTCGTGCAGTTCCTCACCCGGAACTTCCTTCTCGCCGTGTATCTACAAGCACGAAACAACGCGCATGAGTGACGTGATGATTTTTACTTACTTGCAGAAAATCAGATAGATCCAGCTGGCCGTTGTACTGCGAATCGATTTCACAGAGCAAATTGTGCAAGTCTTTGTGGTCAAATTTAATGCCTATATGCTGAACTCGAAAGATGTCAAGTTTAAGATTGTGTCATATAAATACCATAAAAGGTTGGATTTGTAAAATATAATTCGTTGCATGTTATTACCTTGAGACTCCTACGAATATCATTGATGGAGACGTAGCCCTTTCGGTCTTTGTCGATAATCTGGAAGCGCTTAATGTAGGTCTGAATCTCATTTTTACTCAAGTTAATTGGGATACGTTCACGACTGGCACGATTAACCATTTGACCCATCTCGTATTGAAGAAATTCAGTGGCGTCTTTGTGTTGTTTAACTTTCTCAGCTGTTTTAACAAAATATAAATAATTTACAATACATTTTGACTATTAAGACAATTAAATGAATTAGTTATACCTTCTGACCAATTGAGTTCTTCCGCCATAATGTCAATAATCATAGGTAATGCTTCCTGAGCGGCTTGAACGTTGAGAAAAGCAACTCTTAAACGCCTGGCAATCATATCAATGGCTGTCATGGCATATTCTCTCACACCATAACGAATTTCCGCATCAATATATGGAAACTCGGGGTGAACTTTATTACCAATAATTGGCCAACGTTTCCCTGTATCACATAATTACGTTTTATTATAGCTACAATTATATTTCAGGTGATTTTACCTGTAATGGACGCTAATTTAGCGACAGCAAAAGCTCTGTCACCATATGAATTAGCTAAGTTTTGAGCAACTTCACTTTCCAATCCAAAATCTTGTACTAATCTAATATACATCGTTGGTGTCCATCCGTGGGCACCCTCCATTAATAATCCATCAGTTTGACTGCATTCGACTTTTGGCTTTAAGTCACATGATTTAATAGCCGCGTCTATTGTTTCTTCCGCCATTGCGCGATATGTAGTCCACTTTCCACCAGCTATCGTAACTAAGTTGGAATCACTCACGTGAACAATATGATTACGTGCTAATGATTGAGTGTCTGGTTTATTTGGATCGGAAACCAATGGTCTTATTCCGCTCCATGCAGACAGGACATCACCTCTTCTCACTTTGAAAAATCATTAAATTAAAATTAAAATTTAATTATTTGTCAAAAGTTACTTTGACTAACCTTCAACATCCGGATTTAAATAATTCTTCACCTCTTCCAAAATAAACATAATTTCGTCTTCTGTTGGTTTGGGATTGTGTGTTACTTGACAAGGCAAATCTGTAGTTCCTGCAATCGTTTGTTTCTGCCAGGGTAAAAAGAAGATAACACGACCGTCACTAGTAGAAGGATCTAATAAACCCATCTCTGCTGGACTGTAATATCCCGGAAGTACAATATGGACACCACTGCTAGGTGCGCAGATAGTTTTTACATTAGGATCATCCATTTGGCGGATACTGTCTGTAAATGGACCAGTAGCATTGATAACACATTTAGCTGGTACGGTCCATTCTTTTTTGGTCAGTTCATCACGAACATGCACTCCAGTAATTTTTTCTACTCCGTTCGCGTCTTTTTTCTTCATCAGTTTAGTAACTTTTACGTGATTAGCAACAGTGGCCCCGTGCCGTGTTGCTGTAAGGGCTATCGCAAGGTTCATCCTAGCATCATCTTGTTGACCTATAAAATGAATTGTTTAATATTTATTCGATGCTATGTGTCTTCGTGTATGTATACCATCATAATAAACAATAGCACCACAAAGTTTATCTCCACGCAACATGGGGAATAATTCCACGGCGTTTTTCTTTGACAGCAGATAAGAACCTCGAACTGTTTTGGTTCCAGCCACCAAATCATACATTTTAATGCCAAACCAATAATATGGAACTTGCCACCATCTGTAAACATATATACAAACATAACCTTATATTAGCCCTATATTTCCACCTTGTATCATTATCAAGAAACAAATATTTTTGTTTTTGGAAAACAACATACTTCTACGTATATGCATATATTTTTAGTGGAATAATTTACTACTTAAATTGTAGAATATATAGTGGATTGGAGATACAATTTGTATTTTGATCTTTAATGCAATTTACAACGATAACTTTTTATCTCTGCGTATTTTATGTTGGTAAATCTACATTATTAATTTGCAAAAGTAATGTATTGAGTGTGATGTTAGATTTCAGACGTACCAAATTGTATACTCACTGATAGACTGGCAGCATTATCGGCAGGGGATGAGCCAAATGAGGAGCTGCATGTAACATGGAGCTTCGTTCATTGAGGGCTTCTTTGACCATTTTGTACTGCTCGTAGTCCAACTGCATGATTGCTTTTTGTAGATAGCGGACTCCACCGTGAATAAGTTTTGTACTGCGGCTGGAAGTGCCTGAAGCGAAATCGTCCGCTTCGATCAAGGCGGTTTTTAATCCTCTGGTGACCGAATCTAGCGCACAGCCTGCGCCTGTGGCACCTCCTCCAATGATCACTACGTCAAAGGATTCCGTTTGTAGGGATTTGATTTGTTCTTCTCGTTTTGGCAGCGGGCGTTTGATTCGTTTGCGCTGTTGTTGAGCGTTTACTACTGCCCACTAAGAAATCAGATATTAAAATTATTTAAATATCGTGTGGGTAGGTATTCTGTTGTACTAACTCTAGCGTCCTGATCTTCCCTGAGGAAGGCATACATAGCCAATCCAGCACCAGCTGTACCAGCCAGGCCTCCTATAGCCCATTTCCGCAATGTACTCGCCATTTTGTTTGTTTTACTGTAACCAAATGGTCCATTAGTGCAATTGTTGAACACAAATTATGCATTTTCTAAATATTGCGAATACTTGTAATCAAAACACGCATAAATATTGTTTACCCAGAATTTGTTTAATTTCATCATTAATTAGCACGCACTAGACGAATGCTTATCGCTATGATTATGATGGCAATTACGAAAATTTATATGCAAGTCAACTACTACGCTTCCCGGATGTGAGTGTGGGGATTAGTTGGAATCGCCGCGTGATAATTTTTCAATTACCATGTCAACAGTCAAACACGTGCGTAGTCGTTTACAAGTCGCGTAAACGATCCTAGACGCGATCAAATGATTAAATGATTAGACAACATCAATGAAACGTGGGCGATTTGGTAATACTTAGCTGTTATTTCGGTTGTAACCAGATATATTCGACATTATCATTAATGGTTTTATGGAATATCATGATACGTGGAATGTTTTATGATATCATAAAATTATTTAACTATCTTTCAAATAAAAAATATATTACCAATAGGCGGACTTACTAAAACGATTTTACTAATAAATGATTTTTAGTGCAAATTTTAATTGATATGGTGCATCTGTACTTCAAAGTAGTGAAAATAATATTTATTTCCCATGCATGTGTAAGGACAAATTAATTATTTGCAAAACAACAGTATCAAATATAAAACATTATTTAATTCGTATTTAGATTTCATTAAATTTAACATAGTATAACAGGTATGATGCAATAGAGAAACTAGTAATTTAATACAATTAACATACAAATTTAGTAAATAAAAACCTTTAAAACACTTTCAAATGTGTGTCACTTACTCTTTGCTTTAAGTTCACTGCAGCACCACAATTTTATTTAGACTTATAAAATAAATGAGAAACTTTTAAATATTTTAAACTTCAAGACAATTCACAGCACATCACGTCGCTAAGGACAATCGTAAGACGCGTAAAGGACGAATAAACCGCGTTGTATGTCGTTTCGCGCGCGTCGCCGGCGGTTTCTGAATCTAATTACGACATAGAATTGCACAATATCAATCACACTACATGGCACAAACTCATGAGGTGAGCGTGATAGCAAGTACGCATAGTTGCGATTTTTGTGTTGGAAAATTTTCGAATTATTTACAGAACACGCTGGGTGTGCATGTGTCGACGCTTGACGCGCTTGAACAATACTAACAAAATCAGCACCAACAAACATTCGAAACGCAACAAACGACCAATCCAACCAAACCTACATTCATTGCTTCCAACAGTTCGGTGTGCGGTTGACAATGAAATGGAAAATATTTGGTACTAAAATTTTTCAGTCATGACCGGGTATTATTACGTCATTTCTAAACTTGATACACTCTAGTTGTAATATTAGTATTCACTTTTACTATCATTTTAGTTATTTGTGTTAGTTATTACTTATTAAACGGAATATGTTGTTAAAAGTTTCCTTGGGAATACTTTTAATATTCATGTGATGTGATATGGAAGAGGAATATTTTTGTATTCGTTCTGACTCGTTTGAACAAGCATTTTCAAGGTTGAAATATACAGATAATTACAAAATAATTAAACATGTGTATTGTGTAATTGTTCAAACAAGTGTAATTATAGGTGTGTTTTATTTGAGTTCGTACGAATTCCAATATTTCATTCTACCATTTTAGAGGTTAGGAAAATTGTTTTCTGTGGATATTTTTAATTTATTACCTCAATTTTCTGTGTATTTTATTACTAAATAAAGTACTACATTAAGCAAATGTCTTTATATGGAATCATCAAATTAAATTGCATCCTCTTTTTAGGTATAAGGGCCGGAAACGTGGAAACTTTTAGTTTTGTGTTGAACGTTCTAGTTTCTGGTCTATAAAGCCAATAATGATAGGGTAGCAAACTCACCGTTTGTTGTTACATTACGCTGTCTGAATTACGATTGTTATATCGACAGCGATTTAGATTATGCGTTTGATGTGTGTTGGGTGGGCGCTTCATGCTTGCTTCGTGAAAATCGTGCGCTAATCTACATTGGCAAACATTCAACTAGTGTTCACGCGTTTTCTCGCTTTTCATCCGTGTACTGCTTCCACCAATTGTTTTGAAACACTCCCTGTCTGCTCCGTTCGATAATCATAATCTTGCGTGCTTTGAATATACATATTACTTTGAGTGTAATTGGATAATTGGGGTGTACCAATTTATTGACTTTTTGCTTGATTAACATTCAAAAAGTGGACAATATTTTTTTTGTTATACGCAGATAAATAATATGTTAATTGTTTTTTTCAGTTGCAGATTTATAAGTGAGCAAAAGTCTGCACAGGTTTGCAGTCTATTGTTGCTTGGCAAGCAGTCAACATAAGTGGACATTCTGTTTATAGTTTATCTGTTTATAGAATCGCAAAAAAGAGCGCAAGGAATAAAAATAACTGATGTAGTGGGTCGGAATGAGTGCGTTTCAATCAGAGTTACACACAGTTTTTTGAGATTAGAGATTAGATAGAGTACTGTGATAGTAAAAGGGGAATGATATGCGCATTTATTTTTTTCGCGGCCGCTTTTATAAATCATGCTGACTAATTATGACTTTTCATGATCAAATTCTTGGTTTTAAGGAGCATTGCGCATGAGCAAGTTCAAATGTTCGTGAATCGAATGTAATCTTGTTTTAATTTATCTTGTGTTTCGATCACAGCACCAGTTAGAGCATTTTTATGTCAATATTATTACATTTAGTTTAACATGTTGTAATACATTTTTATTGAATTATAAGTTAGGTCGGGTAATTTTGGCACGCCAAGAAGTGCAGCAAACTCATAATACACCCATGCACTTGGGTCGAATTAAGTTCAAACGTGAAAAATAAAGATTTACGTAATATCAACTCCCCTAAAATTTGTATTAAATAGAGGTTAATTGAAAATATACATAAAGTGGTGCTTGACTGGGATCACCTGTATTTAAAAATTGTAATATTCAAATTAAAAATTCTCAAAATATGGATACATTAAAATATGTCTCAAAACATAACGTATGTTCTTATATATATAATCAACATGGGCAAATACAAACGCGTGAAGAGAATCTCAGTTAAATAGGATCTACGAGTATGACTCGAAACAACAGAAAAGGAATACCACAGACCAGCGACCACTTAACCACTCAGGCACGACCTATGGACACGATCATAAAATATCCTGCTCAATCACACTTGTTTAATATAGGTAATTTACGCTTTTACTTTTTCCCTTAAAAACCATTAAAGTTTTGAATTCGGTGTAGACTGCACCGTGCAGTGCAACAGAAAATCATATCTGGCTCGTCGCACGAAAACCATAAAATGTTTGATACTAATCAATTAATGAATTATTTTCCGTCAACGTGCGGTGAAGCCATATAAGTTAAATTGAATATGTATCGCCCATGAGATATCTTCAATTATTGAAGTTACTTATTCTGTCGACTTGGGCCGCGGTTTTCCCGATCTCGTAATACAAATCTGCTGATCTCAGGATCACACAAATACACAATTTGATTTAATTTCTATGTAATTGAATTGGGCAAAACATCTACTTTGTTGGTTACTAACACGCGTTAACATTTATAACAAAAAAAAAACAAGTTTTTCAACATAACATCTATTATATTGTACAATCATCAGTAAATGAAGCAAGGTATAATGGGCAATTACTTCAACCAAAAAGAAACTTTTAGACTTAAATATGAATACAGTTGTAAAACAAACTGTTAATTGTTCAAATTATTGAAATTCGTGAGTGTTGCTTATCTGCAGTAGTAAATGGGCATGTCTTGTATAGAAAAATAAATATAGTTGTTCAGGCACCCTAAATAAAAACCCCATACGTGTACACAAACATGTCGTAATTCAATACTTTTTCAATGCTTTGCGAATCAACGCTAACCGCTGCTTGTGAGATTCCGTTGTCAGACTTCTCTTGTACGGCCGCAGTTCGTCTGTGCCCAACCCCGGAGCCCACATATTGTAGTTGCGATCTGAAACAAAGTAAATATTATGTTTAGCAAGCTGTTGTAGACATTTTATGTGAGTTGTCCTCATTGATTAGACATTATATACTCACTTATAAACATTTGAACATCCTTCACTTCAATGTTTTTCACATGTCGATGCTTTGCGATCATGCTTGCGCCATTAATCACGCGATCTACGAAATCGTCTACATATCCAAGTAAAATTTCTTCCACATCTTCCTCTAGGTAAATGTTGGGATCAATGTCTCTGATTAAATCAGCCAATCTGGTTTTGGATAATACCTTTTAACAAACCAAAATTTTATATTGTATTATGTATAAAATATTTCTAAATCACTTACTTGTAAGTTATCTGTTGAAGTAGGAATATTACTTGAAGATGAATTTGCATTGGACATATGCATACTTTTAACAGGACTACTATTTTGTTGAAGTGATATTGTTGGTAAAGCAGCTTGAACAGGTGCTGGTTGCACAGGGGCCTGCACATTTACTAGACTTACACCAGGCATGGGAGATGTGTCCATCATGATACCAGACTTCATATCATTGGCTTGGTGTTGCTGATGTTGATCTATTTGCATGTGCTGATGTTGCACTTGATTGCTCATACCACTGTGCATTGGCATTCCATTGTTAGGGGGCATAATATTGTGAGATATTGGCTGCACTTGATTTATCACAATGTTCTGTGGTTGTTGCATTATATTGTTGGTCAAATTCGGTAGCGACATATTGTCAAAATCGTTAAACTAGCAAAAGTAAACAGAAGTGTACGCAAAGAAATTAAAAACACTGATGATTTGCAAAACAATTGCTGTGTTTATTGTGTTTTAACAGAAGAATCTTTGTGGTGAGCGTCAGCGACTTTTATGATTGCGCTAGATTATTATAGGTTATGTTATCGCTTCATGTTTGAATGTCAAAGCAGCTTTGATTTATGCAATAAACAAATTTTCAACTCAAAAATGAATGCTCATGTTTTATAAATACGGTAATTTTGTTTCGGTTTATTATTATATCCTTCAATTGTCTTTGATACGGAAATATCAAGAAGTTTTTTACAAGTTAATTATTATGAATCATAAGACGTAATAAGAATCACAGTGTGTGACAAAATAGCAACTTTTTCAAGTAATTATTATATAGGTATTAATTTATTTACTGCTCCCAGAGAGAGAAAGTTATTTAGTTAATATGTATGGTCATAATTAGTACATATTAATGTTTAATATGGTGTATTGGCATTTGTATTGTAGGTCGTATTACAATACAGCGCCCTCTACATATTTTTGGTTGAACTTTATTAGCCACACGCGATCAACAGCAAGTTTAGAAAACGACGGAAAATGATCGCACTCGACTGCACTTGACTGGCAAGAGCGGCGCGGATAAGCTCGTGGTCCGCGATGTGGTTACGTGTAGTGTAAATGTCGCAAGGCTACTACCGGCGTAATAATCTATAAGTGATAAAGCAACTTTTTGACAAACAACATCGTGTCCAGGAGAACGTAATGAATTAAAACCACAATTTGCACCAGTTTAGTCTATTCTACAACACCAACCTCTCAGGATGTCCGACCCGCAGCGTAAAATACGTGTCGGGTCGCGTAAGAGCGAGGTAAGCATTTTCGTATTCATTGAAATTAATTAATTTAAATGGATACGAATAAAGCGCGTGTAACGGAAGGTAATCAACGATAATGAATAATCGATGCGTGTTTTTAGCTGGCACTAATTCAGACCAAACATGTAATCGCGCAATTGAAGACGATTCATACAAACACCGAATTTGAAATAGGTAATTATAATTAGATTATGGCAGGTATTTGTTAAATTACTAGTAACTGTAGAGTATGTATATATGCGTACATAAGTATATATTTATATCAGCACGTCACAAATCGTTGTGATAGTAGATCTGTTGAACTGGAACTAGACTTGGAGAAAGTTTGACCTCAATCAAATACTCAAGTTCTTTAAAATACTTGTTTCTCTTTTATTATGTCATAATCATGAAGATTAAAAATATTTCTAATATTTCAGTGACTATGAGCACATTAGGTGACAAGGTGCTGGATATTCCTTTGCCAAAAATTGGCGAGAAGTCTCTTTTCACCAAAGAACTTGAATCTGCCTTAGCAGATGGATCTGTTGACTTTGTGGTTCACTCTCTCAAAGATTTACCTACAACTCTCCCTACTGGTATGGCCATCGGCGCGGTGCTCAAACGCGAAGATCCTAGGGATGCATTGGTGCTACAAAAAGACCTCAAGAACTTCACACTTGCAACACTGCCCAAAGATTCCGTTATAGGAACTTCAAGTTTACGTAGAACTGCACAACTTGCGAAAAAATATCCGCACTTAAAGGTGGAAGATATACGAGGCAATTTAAATACCCGGTTGCGGAAACTCGATGATTTAGGAAAGTTTTCTGCGATCATTTTAGCCTCTGCAGGATTACAACGTATGGGGTGGGATGATAGAATCAGTAAGGTGTTACCGTGTCATGAATTCCTATATGCAGTTGGTCAAGGTGCTTTGGCAGTCGAATGCAGGGCGAATGATAATTTTATTATTAGTCTACTGCGTCCTCTCTACGATTATGAGACTGGTATTAGAGTAATTGCTGAGCGGACATTCCTAAGGACTCTAGGTGGCGGTTGCAGTGCTCCGGTAGCCATAACATCAAAAATAGCGCATATTGAAGGTACGAAACATAAACTAAGCATGACAGGCGCAGTTTGGGCTTTGGATGGCAGTGAAGAAGTGCTTGAATCCATGGAAATCATGCTAAATTTAACAAAAACCAATGATATTAAAGTTTGTCCGTATAAAGATAAATGTAACAATGTGTGTGTAAGGAAAGAAAATGAAAGAAATGGTGTTATCGTACGCAATGAGACAGTGATCAAAGAATCTGATAAATTAACGCCAATTGTGAAAAGGCAAAAAACAAGCAACGATAGCGACGATGTCGGCAAAGATAATTCTAATACTGTAAATATAAATACAGTACAACCGCACACCTCGTCAGATGATATTCCCTTGGATCTGTTGAGGAATGATCCGCATGAACACTGCCCGGTAACGATTCCTGTTGGCGCTGATTTTATGGGCAAATGTCCCTACCTCGAAGGGTCCATGAACAAATCGGATATTGCAATAGATGCCCTAGACGAGGCGAACGGCAACGGTCCTGACATAAGTAAGTGCCCTTATATGAAAAACATGACACAAGGCGATTCCAAAACGACACCACCAAGCACAGTCTCCGATGATGCACAAATTAATACTTTCTGCGGCCTTGTTTCTCACCAATTACTTGTAGATGATGTGTTACAACAATCTGAGACTTTAGGCAAGGGGCTTGCTGATAAATTGATAACAAATGGTGCTCTCGAAATCATGGCGAAAGCTCAAGCGCATATTCGCGGCTCTGTCGCTTCCTAGCATATGAAACTTTCAATTAAGTCTGTCATTTTGTTTAAAATGACTGTTAAAATGGTTGGTTAGTGTTTGGTTAATTGCATTGTTATGTGAACATAAATAAAATGGTATATATTAGTGTTTGTAGTATTGGATGTTATCTTTATAAAAATCTTTGTATGAATGTTTTATTAAAAAAAAGTTTACAAATTACTGTCTCATGCCAACAGATTTTCTATAATGTGTAAAGTGTTCCAAATACTGATGGATTGTATCAATAGGTGTGTAGTTCTCCTGCATCCTATTGGCTAAATATGGTGGAGGTGCACTTTGTACTGTTGAGCCAAGAAATCCTTGGAGGAATTCTTTTATTAGCTCCCAACACATGCTTGGCACTAAACAAGCTCTGTATTCCACTTCAACTAAAATTCCTTTGAAGTTTGAACTGATTGTGACTGTGCCCAACTTTACACAGAAATCTCCAATTTCAAACCTGGGGCCCTTTGATTCAGCTTTTTGTTTTTTTGATGTGTAGAAGTTTGACATCTTCATCATTAACAGATCAAATAAGCCATCAGCAGCCAGGGGAATTGTTTTTGTACCTGTTTCCAGTATAGAGAAGACTGTGGCGGGTTGTTCAGAGTTATGCAGGACGTGGACGGTCCGTTGGGCGCCCAATTGGGGTACAGACATGTATGTTTCACAGTCAACCAAATATTGTCCTTGTTGCACTGCGCCCAAGGCTAAAATACGCTTGGTAAGCAATTCGATTGTAGAAGGACCTGTTCTATTCTCCACAATTGGAAATTGTTGTAATATTGTTACCCCCATTGTAGGTAATATATATTTATAAGTATTATTAACAATGTATTTTTAAATAATTATTGTGTTGTCGGGTAGATAACAAATAACCTTTAAAAAATCTAAACATTTTTGTTACCTAGAATTGACGTTAGATGGCTTTTAAGCTAGTCTAACCTCAGAAACACACGTGAAAAGTTTGTGAAAAGTTTTGTGAGTGTTAAGTTTTGTTTTCGTGATAAACAGTGCCCATAAGTAAGTTCAATTAATAATAAAAGTTCTTTGTTTTAAAATCTGATAACTTCTTTAGTATAGGTACGATGAGCACGTCTTTAGCAGAGCAACTGCAAAGACTTGCAGTCCCACAAACCGCCGCACTTCGTCGTAGTGATAAGAAACGTGCTTCCATACTCTTTGATGTGAAGGAAGCAGCAGGTATTTCCAAGGAAACTCTATTCCAAATTGGTTGTGATGGTTTTGAAGAGCTAAAATCTAAAAATCCAGTTTTTGCCACTTTTGAGCACAGTCTATTTCATCTTGTTGGCAAGCAATTTGAAAGAGCTGTGCAGACTGCTGAAGCAAATCAGAAATTAGACAAAACTTTAAAGAGTTTCTTCTATCAACTCTCACCATACTTTTTAATGACTGCAGCCCACAAGGCACTAGAATGGCTTGTTTATAGATACCACATTCATAACTACAATAAAGATGACTTAATTCTGCTGATTCTGCCATATCATGATACAAATATTTTTGTTAGAGTATTGCAAATCATTGAAATCAATGATAATGATAAATGGCTTTGGTTGCAACCTCTGCAGAAGCCAGGAGTACATCTTTCCAAACATGTTTTATACAATCATGCAGGAAGCAATCCAGGATTTATTCAATTGTTATCAGATTATGTGCTGGGAGCAATCAAAGAACATGAGAAACCGTCATATTTAACCGTATTGTTTAATTTCTATTGTGCTACTTTTACTGGAGCAGTGGAAAAGAGCATAAATTTAAATGATACACATGTTGTGCAGATGTTACCATCAATTATTAAAGGTCTAAAGAGTGAGATTCCAGATTTTTGTGCATCTGCTTACATAATCCTCTCTAAAATTTTAACCAAGGTAACATTGAGTAAAAAAGTTTTGGATTTGTTAATAGAAAAGTTGACAGATATGAATGTCTCAATGTTGAACACTGAGGCACTATTAGTAATGATTGTTTTGTATCAATCACAAGAGAATTATAAAACTATGCCTGATACAGCAGTGAAAAACTTAGCAGAAAAGAAATGGTTACCTAACTTGTTGAGAGAACTTGGTAATACTGGTTGTTTAATCAGTACTGTTTTACTACCAATGTTAGGAAGTGGGATAAAAACTGGAATTATGGAAGTGTCTACTGATCATGGAAAGACTTTGGTTAGCAACTTACTTGGAGCTTTAAAACTTGAGGAAGAAATCATTCATGAAATTTTTGAGTAAGTTAATACATTATTTATTAAACATTAAAATGATTTCCAAATGTTTGTCAACGTGTAGTGAAACCATATTTTGTGAATTACACATGTTTTACCCGTGAACAAGGTGCGGGGCCTTGTCAATTATTCTAATTAGGATAAATTTCTTTCTAGTCCTCACATTGACTACTCTCTAGTATATATGCGGTACTTTATAACGCGAGTCAATATACCGACAAACATGCTATAACGGACAAATTTGTACATGTTGGTTTGCGAAATCCTTATATTTTCTGTCATTTTTGTTTCATGTTATAAAGAGTAAATTAATACAGTGTACTTGGCTTTAAAACGACGCTTAAGGGATCAAGCGTTTTTTTCGTTTTTGTGAGGTGTCGTTTCATGGAAGAACAAAAAGTTAACAAAATATAAGGATTTTATCAACCTAGTTGTTCAAATTTTGCCATTGGAGAGGCTGTATGATAAATGTTTTATTAATATTTACCAATTTGAATGCAGATTACAAAAATTAAGCTTTTAAATGTACTTTCTTTGTGAATTTGGTGAAATCGAATAGGCGATTTTCCGGTTTGCATTTCCAACATATGAAACATTCCTCAATAAATCAGTTTCAGGTCTCACTCGCCAAATATGGTTTCAGTACACATTCACGGAAAAGAATTCATTTAAATAAGTGAATACGTTCATAGCATAATAATAAATTTATTAAAATATATAAAAAAAAATGTATTATTTTTAGAGTTATTACAACATCTTACAAGTTGAAGATGTCATATCCAGAAAAAACAACAATTTGGTTGAAATCAGTAGTAGAAACAATCGAACATCAATATCCGTTATCATTCGATAAGGAAGTTGGACGTATCATGAAGAATTCTACCGATAAGCAACTTCAATATCAACGTAAAGTATTTGAACGCATTATTGAAAATGTGAACATGAAGGATCAAGTTAATTTCTTCGAGAAGCTTTACCACCCACAAGACGACATCAGGAAAAATGCAATGAAAAACATTATAAAACGATATACATCTTTGAAAGATCGTGAACAAGATCTATTGAAAACTGTACTTATTGATCGTCTTAACGATGACAACGACGAGGTTTTTAAAGAAACTTTGAAGATCACATTGAAGAGCCTTGTCAACATCTTGGACATGCAAGAATTGAAAGAAATCTTGGTAAAGTTGCTATATAAACACAAGTTTGACAAGTTTAGTTTTCAAATAATAGAAAAACTGGTACAAATTGACGGCGCACATGATGATTATGAAGTATTAATTGCAATTTTTCCCTATATTATGCCCTGCAATGAAGTGGCATTTAGAAGTGCAAACTTTTTAGTACAAGAGTTTATACCAAAGTGTGAACCGTTAAAAGTTTTACTAAATCTTATTAAAAACTGTACGAGTCAATCGGATTTCAACACCACAGTGCTGAAAAACCTTAAGAAAATCAAGTTAGATCATAATTTGTTGATGGATACCGTTACGAAAAGTCCCAATGCTGATGATACAACATTTAAATTCACCGTAGCCATCTTGCTCAGCAAAACTTCAACCGATTTCTCAGCAAAAATGGTTCCGATTGTAATTGATAATTTAAAAACTTCGAGTGTTAAGTTTGAGAGAGGAGACAAGGGCTTTGATTACCTTCTTGCCATAAAAAGATTACCTTTAGCGGGATATTTGAATTGTATTGATGACTTGATCAAGAAGTGCCCAAAACAAGCCCTTCACATATATGACTTTTATCAAGACGGAGACTTTACGAATGCCTGTATATCGATGTTCAACTTTTTATTGGAAGGCGCCTTCGCTCCAAAAACCAGCCACGCAGAAATTTACGCAAAAAGTTTAAATATTTTCTTGAAATATTTTGCGCTTAACAATGAAGTTGAATTTCTTCTGAATTACGTTACTTGTGATAATAGGCAAGCAACGCTTGGGAATAAACTGAGGTCACTTAAAAGTGCACACGCGCTTTTACAAACTAAAAAATCATTTGTTTCTGTAACATCTGAGAGCTACATTGTATCTTATTTATTAGTTTGTTTACATTCTGAGCATCAAATTATCAGAAATATTTCCCTGCAATGTCTATCTAGAATTGTTAATCTGACGAAATATTATAAACAATTGGTTCTGATGGTGTTAGACAGAACGGAAGATATTTTACAGGACGGTGAGCAGTTGCCATATGCAATTGGCTGTGGTGATGAAGAAATGCTAACAAATGTTTTAAATTTGGTTGCACTGTTGAATGAAAATGTTCCAATTTATTTAAAGTCTGGAATTGTGGCTGCTTGCGGTAGAATTGATAATCTGGAACTTTATAAAACTATTTTGGAGTACACTATGACTATTGCAACAACGAAAAATACACAAACAAGGAAAATTGTCACCGATTGTATTGAACAGTTTACAACATTGATGGCCAAGTCCACAACAGTGTCGTCTGTACTTTGGATTTTTATCACAGCCATGTTGAAAGACGACCAATCATCTTTGGAAACCATCTCGCCAGCTATTATGCTTCTTAACAAAATTGATAAACAAATGTTCAGTGCATTTACACCTGCAGTTCAAATGAAACTTCTTGATTTAATTATTGAAATGACAACGAATTCGACAAACCCAGAAATGTTGCCAGCTGCTACGAAAGTTTTCAAACACATAGACTTGGATGCGCTTGCTATTTTGGACCTGTTGCACAATATGCGCGATGTTGTTTCTCCTAAGTTACAAACGAAAATGCGGCGAAGAATTTCCGTTGTTCCAACTCTAGATATATTGGATACAAGCGAATGGAGAAAAGCCACTACCGTTCTGGAATTTATCCAAGATAAAAAGAAGATGCGCAATATAGACAAGTTAATTCCGGTTTTATTCGACATTTTGAAGAAGTGTTTGGATTTTGATGAGCAGGCAAGTGTAGAATATCCCAAACAATTGGTATTATCCAGCATTCTTCACTATTGTGATAAAATTGATCCAACAATACTACCGCAAAATATTTTCAACATGGAGCTGGTAGTACAATGCATTCGGGCATCTCCTAATCCACAAACGCATCATCATGCGTTACTGCTTCTTGCGAAAGTGGCTTCATTTATACCGAATCAGGTCTTGCTACATATCATGGCTATCTTTACATTTATGGGTTCATCGGTATTAAGACACGACGATGCTTATAGTTTTCAAATTATAGCAAAGATAATTGACACAATAATTCCCATTTTGGTTAAGGAGAGAAGCAAAAATGATATTGTGAGTGTTCTAAGAGTATTTGTTGATGTCATATTGGATGTTCCTGAACATAGACGAATGCCTCTGTATAGTCAACTCTTAGAACAAATTGGTCCCAAAGAGAATCTATATATTTTTGCATTGTTGATTTTTGAAGCGCACGTTTTTAATAAAACTAAAGAGGGAACAAAACGATTGGATATTGCAAAGAGTTTGTGCTTGGAGTTTTCACCCGAAGTTATCATTTTGACATCGATTCAACTTATTGATTTTGTTAAGTCTCTACCGGTTGATAAAGAGGATTATAAAGAAGGTGATTTTCTTTTCGACGTTAAGAATAACACTCCGAAACAGTTTAGACATTTCAAATATACCTTGGTACTGTTTGCGTCGAACTTGTTGGCATCTAAAGAGTTGGTAAACCAGGTTGCCAAGTTAAGCGATGATGAAAATGAACATCTTGAAGAACATTACAAAAAACTTATTGTTAACATTCTAACATACATTCAGAGCACATCTAAAGTGGCAGAGAATAATGCAAATACACCTCAAGCACAATATTGGAAGGTGATGCTTCATCACACCTATGATTTGTTGGACAGTTTAAATGCATTGTTAACAGCACAAATGTTCTTATTGGTGGTGAAAGGATTGATGACACATCAACTTAACACTGTAAAACGAAGAGCTCTAGAACTTCTTAATAGTAAACTTCAGGTAAATCCAGAATTCTTTAGTGACTGTGAACAGCGTGATTTATACGCAATGATTCCACCCTTGATATTAATTATCAAAGAAGTAGAGAAAGATTCGCTGGATTCGGATGAAGAGGTCATTATTCAGACAGCTTTATTGAGTTTAAAATTATTTGTCCGTTTGCTTGCTGCAGAAAATCCTGAAAAGTTTGTGCAAATTTTATATTTCATCACTGAACTGATTAAGTCAAATATTGATGCTAATATTTTGGCGTCTGCTATTTTGTGCTTGGCTGAGTTATGTACACATTTACGATCGCATTCTATATCATCGCTACCTAAATTTATGCCGGCGATTATTAAAGTACTAAAAACACAGAGCAAGGAAGAATATCCCACTTTATTATTGCTCAGTTCAGTAACAACTTTACAGAAAATTCTTGACGTCCTATCGCTATTTATATCGCCATATTTGGAGAAGCTATTGTGCGAAATTTGCAACCTTACATCAAAATGGCAGGATGCTGATGATTCCAAGACAGGACCATTTGTAACCAAAATGAAAAATATCCGAGAAAAACTGGGTTCGTCGATTCCTTCCAGAGTCCTTATACCGTCCGTGGACGCATCGTACAAAATACTAAACACGAAAGCAAAGTACAATTCGATTGGCCCTCTTATGGAAATATTATCAGAAAGCTTGACGCATCTTAAAGGTGCAGAAATTCAACAGGACTTGCCAGAATTAACGACGTTCTTCTTGTATGCTTTGGAATTTAGAGCCACAGCAAAATCTAGCGAAACCATCAAGGATGATGTTATTAAACAAGTAGAAACTTGTGTCATAAAAGCGGTGACTAATTTAGTTTTAAAACTGTCTGAAAGTTCGTTTAGGCCATTCTATTACAAATTGTACGATTGGGCGATTCGTTCGGAAGGTAAAAATGAGAAAATCATTACGTTTTACAGTTTCTCTTATGGTGTAGCGAATTCCCTCAAAGGTCTATTTGTTCTGTTCGCTGGTCACTTCATAAATAACGCAGCAACTGTCCTAGAATCATGCAACACGAAAAACCAACCGTTGTACTTCGAAGAAGAACACAAGAATATTGAACTATTGGAAAACATATTGAAGACTTTAAATTTGGTGTTCATGTACGACAGTCATAAATTTGTCAATAAGGAACGTTTTGACATCCTCATGCAACCTGTGGTTGATCAGTTGGATAACACACTTGGAAATTATGAAGCTCGAGTGCGCGATATTGTTATTCCAACTGTAGTTAATTTTACAGTGGCGACTGGAGATGATTCTTTGTGGAAACAGTTAAATTACCAAATTTTGTTGAAAATGCGTGATGGAAATCCGAAGATTCGGATGTTGGCTTTGGAATGTTTGAGAGATGTGTGTAAGAAGGTAGGAGAAGATTTTCTACCTTTGCTTCCCGAAACAATTCCGTTTTTGGCTGAATTGTTGGAAGACGAAGAGGAAGACATTGAGAAGGCTTGTCAGAAAACGATTCAAGAATTGGAGAAGGTTCTTGGTGAACCTTTGGGTAAATACTTTTAAATTCTATGTACAGAAACAAATTTTTTGTAAACGTAAATTTATTAAATTTCGTCTCGTAACTAACTTCTTTGTATCAAATGTCTACATTTATCATGGATTGATTTATGTAGACAAACATTGAAAGTCAGCAGCACTGTATCACAATAAATGTATGACATTCAGTCATGGCACGAACAATTTCAACAAAAACGTAAAATTGTTCATTTGCAGTGTGCAAAATGTCGACATACTTTCTTAAGTCGCAATCTGATGAGAATCAGGTTTAAATTAAACAAGCAATTGATGCTCCTTAATGAGTGGTAATGACTTCTAAATTTGAACACCAGCAATTATAATATCAGCTTGTAATTCGCCCGATTTTTTCGCATAGGATACGATTCCGCTCTGCGAGCATTCAATTTATATTGTAACTTGCTAAATAAATAAATCCCTGGTGAGGAAAACTCGTCTAGCTGAATCATCAACTCTGCCACTTATAATTAAATGTAAAATCAAAAAACAACCTACTCATGTAGTGAAATTGAGCAATCAGTTGTACACTGCATATTGGACGTTGCTTTCAGATGTTTTATCTAGGAACACAAAGACAGCCAACAACGTCCAATAAACAATTAATACTAACAGTATCCATACCTCGGGAAATGTATTACATTAGATTCATTCCGAGCGTAAACAAGTGCAACTGCTTCGCTTATACATTGATTAGGCATCCAGTCCAATAACAAAACGTGTTCCAAAGATAGACAACGGTGACGTAATCATGAGTACAAAATTAAATTTTAAAAATATGCAGCACAGCTACGCGTTCTTTTCTGAGTAGTCGTTGTCCTTCTGCTTCAATCTTAAGATCTCCTCTTTGAGTCGTAAAATCTCTTCGTCCTTCTCGGCAATCGTGTGCTGTTGTTCCTCACATTTTGTTTGTAGTTGATGAACCATTGGCGATTCGAGATGTTGCTCGTCATCGATATGCTTCAGCAAAGTACTGGCGTCCGGACGAGCTGATGATTGACGAATGACTAACTGTGAGATGATTTGCGCCAATTGGGGTTGTTGTTTAATGGTGCATTCCGGTAAATCGCCTTTGCGAAGACTTGTTATGTTGGTAATGCGTTCCATGTCGGTCGAAAAGGATTCAGTGAGTTCGAAAACCACAATACCCAAAGAATACATATCACTCTATAACAAATTACAACATTATTAGGCGTGTCTAATAAATTTCTTAATTTTATGTGGCAACTATCAACATAGGAAACAAAATTTGTTTTGCCTTTAGAATAATGCAAGACTTACTTTGATATTACATTTTCCTGCGAGTTGCTCTGGTGCTGCATACAGTCTTGTACCGCATGCCAAGGAATGTTGACTTGATTGCAGTGGGCAAGCTAGGCCGAAATCACCTAGTTGAACTAGTAGCCTCTTGTTTTCAAATTGCATGAATATGTTGCTAGGCTTTACATCATGATGAACAATGTCTTTTGAATGAATGTACTCTAATCCTAAATTTGTGAAGAACATATTTTCAATAACCGTGCAATAAAACAACGTAAAGTATACTTACCCTTTAGAAGTTGTTTTAAAATTTCAATGACTGTTTGATATCTTCTTGTATTATTTATTGGCACCAGAGCATTCGGACTGGACGATTCCAAACTGTTACGATTTTCCAACCATTGCTTCAACGTCGAATGGCATAAACTCATTTGAATGAACAGTGTCGCCCATTTTGGATGGTGGTGCTTGGCTTGTAATCTCTTAATCTCTTCAATATTGCAAATAGCATTACCCCCTTCTGACGTAGAATTTCTTTTAACGCGCCTTTCTTTGCGTTTTTCGCGCTTAGTAGAATTGGTCAATGAGTAATGCCTAGAATATTCGAAACTAATAACAAAATCGGAGGAATCTTCTTGTTGGTAATCCAGGTCTAAATCGCGCTTGTTGTCAGTAAAAAGCGACGACTCGGTTTCATCTTTGTACTTTGTATCAGTTGAAATCAAACTCTCTTCATCAAGTTCATCATCACTAGAATCTTCCTTATGACTGTGATGAGTGTCACTAGTGCTGGCACCCAATTCCAACCATGCTGCTTTGTACTGCACAATATTGGAATGATTCAAACTTGCAAAGGTTTTTACCTCAGCAAGGTAATTTCTAACAGAGTCAATGCTGTTGGATCTGATGAAGATTTTTTTGACTGCATATTCAGTGTCATCTAACTTATGCCTCACCCTGTAGACTTTGCCAAAGCCACCACCAGCAATAAATGCCAATTCTTCAAATTCCCGCTTGTAGTGTGACCACTCATTCCTGACATCATTAGACCACATAGGCGTGAGGGCAGTTTGAGTATCACTCCTTGGGGAAGAAGTCAATAAGCTATGGAAGGCTCTCTGGCACTGATTCCTTATGCCTTCAAACTCCTTCATCAGGTAGCTATCATCAATGACCATCATTCTATACAGCATGTCACAGATCTTTAAGTAGGTAGACTGTGCTTTCTTGTCATCATGCTCATAATTGAAGCAGAGATTTTGAACCAAAGATTGGATGACAATAGATATGGGCATTGAGGTTTGAATGATAGGATTGTCAATGGTGTTGGTGGCACCTTCATTTGGTGAATCAGTTGGAACATTTTGATTCGTGGCTGCTAGACTATTTGGTGGAATTTTGGCGGATTGCGCATTGGTATTGCCTTCCGACTCAGTATCCGACATTCCAGATTTAGCCATATCTCGTTAACCGCACTTTCGAAACTTTGTGTCGAACTTTCCAGAAGCATTTAAAGGCGCCTGCACAACGCACCAAAATTAATTCATTTCGCACGCTTATTACAGATACATGGTGAATTGATACAACCGTCTGGTGTATCAGATATTAATATTATCTATAAGTAGTTGTTTTCACAGCTGTGTTTTGAAAATTAAAACGCAAAAACTTTCCGACACATCTCACATCACAATTGACGGCAGAACGTGTGAGATAACTTGGTTACGTGTGGTTGGATAACTTTTAAAGGCGCGTTTGCCACGTTTCCGCTCAAATACTTTAAAATTTCAAATATTTTAAATTTTTTTCCAACGTGCATAATATAAACATACAAATAATTTGATATTGGATATTTTAATTATCATTAAACATAAATATAACGGAATGATGATATCTTTATAAATAATACAAAAAATTAACGAACAACAGACTAAATATTGCACATAGATAAGATAACTTAAATTTATTGTACTACATGGTCAAAACTTGAAATTTTGCTAAATCATTGTAATTATTAGATTAGTTTGCGGTTAATAAAATGGAAAAGAAGCTCCTTTATTTGCTGATAATACAAATTTTCCAGTTCAGGGGACATCTTTATGTTATCAACGAAATCTTCAGGGGCTTCAGTAAAATCAGGTGCATCTTGGCTTTCTACGAGCATCACCTTCCTCACAGCGAATGTCATTATCAATCCAAACTTGGATACTTTCTTCCAGTGTTCCATCAACTGATCAAATGTTAATACGTCCGCAGCTTTCAGATTAAATTCTGCCAGATGGTCTGACAAAGAATCATGATAAAACTTCAAAAAGTAATCTAATCTGTCAAAACACTCTTTTGATGCAGCCGCGTAGAAGAAGTATGATAAATCCATCACTGGCGAACCCAATTTTGTCAACTGGAAGTCCAACATTTTCATATTTTTTGGTTCTGCTCGTTTTGACATATCTTCGTATTGATACAAAGCATTGGAACACCAACAATCCCCTTGGAGGATTACATCGTTGGCGTGATAATCAAAAGCAGCGTTGATATCTTTATTTATATTAGCTGCAAATGTATCCATTATATCTACGTAAGTCTTATCTTTTACAGGGTCGAAAAGAGCTGTAGTTAGATTATCAATCATAGTTTTCATTTGTTCTAAATATTTCATTTTATCTAGAACTTCGTAAAACACATCGTGGTCCATTTTCTCGGTAATTTCTTTGTATAAATCAGGTCTCAATTTTTGCATTGCATAGGACGTTCCGTGAAACTTTGCGAAAGTTTTTAATGCACATTTTAGGTGGGCTTCATTCATCAGTTGTTTTCGATCCCACATGTCGTAATTCTTGCTTTTGAGATTTTCCAGCACTAAAGTTTCTTTGTGCTCTTCATCAATGGCACCGTAGAATTTGGCAGTGTTGTTGTAGGGTTGGGAAACTTGATGTTCATCTTGGAACTTATGGAAACTGGGTTCGATTCCCTCGTAGAAGTGGATTTCATTGACATAAATCTTATGTATGAAGTCCCCGAAAGCTTTTGGATTGCGATGCGAACATTTCAATACTACGTCCAAGGTCTTGTTGCTACCAACAATTTGTCCAAATTTGACCATTCCAAGGTAACCGTCGCCTTTGTTGCTCGATGACTGCAGTTCCAATTTGGCGTTTTTGATGTCTTCTTTGCGCGCGACATCTTGGACAAGTTCATTGAATTCTTCGCTCATTGCAATTTTGGGAAATACGTTAAATTTAAATTTATAAACCGAAATAATAATGACCGGAGTTAAATTAGTATAATATAATTTTAAATATTATATTATATATTAACCAGTTTTGTTTTCTGGAGGTACTAAAGTGCTTGCGCGATCACAAATTTTAATGGAAGACAAATTTGAGCAGCGAAACTCAATGTGTAAATGATAGCGTACAACTCTAGCGTTGTATTATATAGGTACATGTTACGTAATCTATATTTAATAATTGAAATAATGGTAGGAGATGATAAATGTATACTTATTTCACAATGTGTTGTACATAGAGCTGCATTTAAAATGTACAACCATTTCTATAAAAAAAACTATTTTTAGATAACTAGTATCTAGGATTAACTATATTCTAGAGCAATCTACATTATTTTTTATTATTTTATAATAATGAAAATTGTCTGCTCAAAGTTTAAATATTTTGTTATTTTGAATATGTTGGATATAATCTAATATTTCACAACTTTGCGCTGTGTCCTTTGAAAATCTGGCAACACCGCGATCATATGTATCTCGAGTGAGGCACTTGTAAAAACTGTACGGCTCACTACGAAGTGACCCGAGTTTGCACGATTGAATATCAACACTGCATAATAACATTGGGTATCCCCAATATTCAGAAGCGTATGTGAAGTGTACTTTTTTTACACATGTGCATTTCAAGTGAATGCACACACATTGTTGGTGTTTATAGCATATCGCAGTTTTATAAATTTTTCGAATATTTTGCGATAATACGAATAGTAGAAATGTGGTTCTGATCAGTGTCGCTGCAAGTTCATGTTCAACTCATGACGACGTAAAAATAATGTGAATACGAGTGCCGTATTGCCATATTATTTGTTTGTATGGAAGTAAAACATCTACAAGCGGGCTTAACATCCAAGAAAATGCCTGCGTCTAATGACAGGAACTACGTATACCACATACCAATGATTGAAAACATGGAAGAGGACGAATGCTGTTCCAAACGTGTACGACAAATTGCGAAGTTTATGTTTTGTTTTATTCCTGGTGTGCTATGGTGATTATCTTCATATATTTTGCTATTCATTATGATATGCTTTATAAAACTAGTGATAAGTGCAAGGAAACATTGATAGATAAATCTAGAAATGAATCTGTTGCACGAGCACAGCTGGGTGGTAAGTTGAAAGGTCATTGTAGTAATTGTACATAACTGATGTAATCATATTTCTTATTTATAGAACTGAAACAAAAGAATGCTGAATTAAACAAGGATGTTAAAGAACTCCAAAGAAAGCTACAACTAGCTGAGGATAGGTATCAGAATGCACAAGACAAAATTGATTTGTACCTTAAAACTATAAAAGAACTTAAGGTATAGAATTTTCATATAATTGAAGTGTACAAATAATGAAGAATCAATGCAATATTAATTGTTTTAGGAGAATTTGAATCTTCAAATATCAACAGATTTTTTAACAAATCCATCAAGCTCAGCTTCCACCTTAATTGAAACATCATATTATTTTGTGATAATAATGTTAAGTGCAATTATTTACATTTTTCAATTTAAATCATATATTTGAGATTTATATTGTGAGGAATAGTAATGTAATGCTACTGATTGTGCTGTAGTGGTTCATTATATTTTATCATTTTATTTGCAAGTATAATATTTTTGTATTTTATTTTATTGATGACAATGTTCTATAATTACTGATATTCAAGTAATATCATAGTACTATTCAAATAAATACGAAAATTATTGTGCCTGTAAACAATTGGACTTGTTTTTGCACTTACAAGAGCAATTTAAAATAATATTAACAAGTAAATCAAAGGAAATGCTTTAACCCTCACAAGTTATCATTGTTCAAAGATGCCATATTAATAAGACCATTGCAAATCAACGCAAATGTTTGGCAAACCTGATGATGTGAATAGCTATACTGGTTTGACAAATATCTGCGCTGACCTGCTATGGCTTTACCGCCAACTGCATACGAATATCTCACGAGTTTTACGAGAAATTTGAAATTGAAATATTGGTTGCATATACCAAGACGGTATATCATTGATAAAGGAGACTATGTTCGGCAACTTTTTATACACGGTATGAATAATACTGTTCTAATATGTACCTACTTGTACTTATTTCAAAACATATCCCGCAAACATAACTTAAATTTATGTTCTTATTTAGTTCTATCATTACCACTAAGTTAATGCCATTTAAGTATGTAAAACAATAAAGCAAATGAAGTATGTTGGAGAGTGTCACAGAGATCAAGGTTAAACAGGTGGGCGACATCGACGTATGGATGTACGCGATGTATCGGTGGAAGTACGCGCGCACTCCGCACACTCGATATGTGATTGTGCGCGCGACGTCCCCGTCGATGGTCAACATAGTTAGCGTCACGAGTGTATTCGCTTATTATTATTCGCTTCGTGTTCTCCGCGCGCTTCACACGCAACGGCCGGTCCGCGCGAAAGTGAAAAGTGAGTGTTGGATAATACCGTCAGTTAGGTGCACCACCGTAGGGCAGGAAGGTGCAGCATGTTAGTCAATATGGGCCAGCAAAGTAGCGTCCCGAAACGGCGGCGATCGCTACGCTCGCCCTTCTTAAAACGCGCCCACAAAATATCCCTCAGTCACACGTTCAGCTTGCCGAACGGCGACCAGAAGCTGGATCAATTAAATGTAAATCTCGCCACGGAGGAGGAACTTATGACTTTATCAGGTAATATCACATTTTGTCAGTAAAAACAATGCTGTCTCTGTTTTGTGTATAAGTAGGTGTGAAGTTCATATACGTGAATGAATTGGATTAAATCGGGTTTTATTCGAAACAATTTTATATAAATAGGAACTATTTTAGTACTCAAATAACCACTTATCTTTAATGAAAATAAGGTTTGACAACTATAGTAGTAGTAACAGTTTGATAACAGATAATGCACTTTCTGAGAAAGAATATATTATTGATATTGATGCTCATTTAATCTTTATGACATAGAACGTATTTTACACATATACCATTAATAACGAAAACAATTGAATGACGTTAATTATCTTAAAACCTGTTTATCATCGAAACGGCACACCATAATTGTCTAATTTAATCTTTATTTCAGGTGTAACTCGTGATATCGCCAAGGCAATAGTGAAACATCGCCAGGCAATCGGAAGATTCCGTAAAATTGAAGATTTGGCTCTAGTGGGTGGAATCGGTGCTGATAATCTGACAAAATACGCGGAGAGATATGTGTGAAGAACAATAGTTGTAGCAGTTCGCGAGCGCAGAGTTTCGACTCACTGAAAAGTCCCGATGTTAAAATTCCTAAATTGGTAGATGTAAATCGAGCGAATGTGTTTGAACTGCAGTGCGTGAATGGCATGACTCAGGAGATGGCTGCGAATATCGTACATCATCGCAATAAAAGGGGACCATTTAAAAAGGTAAGATTTTTAAACATTTGATGGAAATTAAAACCATGACTCGAAAAATTGTGTATTGGCCAAACTGCATTTTGCAAGAATAAATGATTATTAATCTAAAAACACACATAAAATAATAATATGTAATAAGTTATGTGATGTTGTTTTGGATGTTGGTCTTCACTTCAAGGTGAAGTATGGACATGCATTTATGCTTACATGCATAAGCAAAGGAATAACCTTGTTATTGTAAAATACATAAACGTACTTTGCCATTTTAGGCCATTACCTGAATCATCAATGCTAAATAATAATATAATGCAACTTTATAATATGAAAAATACATGCTTAAGTTCAAGACAATTCGAAAACTTGTTATTTTTCGCATATTGTGCAACATTTCTTTTCACTATTTGGTAAACTTGAAACTTTCAAGTGCTTAGTGTATTTTTGGCAAGTGTTAGATAAGTTTTGGCATCTCAACGATTCGAATAATGTGCGCGTTTATAAATGCGCACAAAGTGTAATACTAATTAAATTAATATTTTATTAATAGTTGCGGTTTCATGCGCGCGCTCTTTATTTTTACTTCAATGTCTGGGTCTAGTTTTTTTTTAATGTATTCCAAAAGAAAGTGCGCAGAAATATAAATTGTATATAAATGCTTATTGTAAGAATTTTGCTATTTACGTATTGGAATTAAGGAAAACCCCAACTTATTTCAAATAAGTTGCAAGCATAACAAAACATTTATTTTACAAATTATAGGTGGCTATCTATTTGCATTAATTACGTCATGATTTTGAAGATCACATTTTAATCATTTTAAATTTAAATTGTTCAAAAAAATTCCATCTTGATTAAATAATTTTTGTTAAGGTATGAATTTAAAAGATTTATCAAGAAGATTTATAAAAAAACAGTTGTAAAGTCATGATAGTGCTTTGCTGGCTGGCGATCAGTATACATATCCTATACATATTTTGTGTCAACTGTTTTTATTATGATTATTTATTTATGAGTCTCATACTTGACAGCTAGGCACGTGTGGTTCGCGGTCATATTAGAGAAATTGCTAATATGACGCACGTGTTCACGCACAACACACACACTCGTGTACATGTAGGAATTATTTTATCAATTTCATATGAAACTATTTCACAAAAAAAATACGTCTGCATAATAAACTTGCATTATTATAAATTTAGGCACATCAGTACTTTTACATAAATTATATGACGAATATTGAGTTAGTACACGTCTTGTAAATTTGTAATCTCGTAGGCTATGTGATGATATGTGTCGACGTCTTGAGGATATCGATTTCATTTAATATTCGAAATGCACGTGAAGAAGTTATTAATGTGCCTTAGTGTACTATATAATCTTTGTAGGTAGATACGAACATCGGTTCAGATATCGACTGCAATTACTCCAATTAAAATTGCTCGTTGTTTTTATTATTAATAATTGTCTACTATTTTATCGGATGCGACCGATACTATCAATGCGACTGACGATTGATTGACCTGTGTAATTGTTCAGTATATAAAGAAAAACAAATTAAACCAATATTAAATAGTCATGAACCAACACTTGAATAATAGCTAATGATTGGTATTATTATTGACCTTTGTCTTCCTGTCTTGAAAGATATTTGAATTATTTACTTGCAATCTTTTATTAATAGGTTTGCTTGTATTGATTTTTGCTATTTGCGTTAAAAAATTAACAATGAAGGACCAAATGAAATCAAGTTGTATGTTTAGATAAAGCTGAATATAGATATTTTATGTGTAAATATTTGTTTACTGGGATAAGAAAATAAACTTTATTGTTCTAAAACTTTATTTATTGACTATAATTTAAAAGTAGTAAAGTACTAATTGCCTTTATAATAAAGTTTTGTGGTGCGGTTAACACGCGATTATTATTAAATTTTACAATTAAACCGGGACTTTCTCGCTTTGTTAGGTCTACTTGCTCCTTTTAATAATGCGATTATTAATCTTGTTAGTCGATTACACATTCTGATAAGAAATACACTTAAAAAGAAATAAATACTAGCATGACTTATCGATTTTAGTACTAAATAATTAATTATTTTCATTTTTGCATTTTTGCGTTAGATAATGCCACTGTAGCAAAAACCAACATGTCACGCAAATTAAGATCCGTAACACAACACAATAAAATCCATAAATGGAAATATGTAAAATAAGTGATTACGTTTACAAAATACACGAGTTTGCTAAAAATAAATTATTAACTTTTGTTCGCGTAAATTAAAGTCGAAGAAAATATTAATAGTGTATTGATTTGAAATTATGTATAAAATATGAAGTTTAATGTATCATGTATTTTTTTACTGAGTGGTTTAATGGTTCGCTTATAGTAAATGGACATATCGAATCGAAATACAATTTGAATCAGTAAGAAACTAAACTTGCTCGAGTGGCATCTCATAAATCATCGATAGTACATTATCAATGCGTTGCTATCGACATGAATAGTACATTCAATGTTTTTCGTTCGATGTTTTATCGAAAGTGATCGAAACCAACAACGTGCTGCTGGTAAAAATATCGTCGCAGATTTTCGACACAATGACTGATTAGACACCGGATTCTACTAAACTTTGAACTTATTTTTATATACCTGCTGTTTGATTCATGTGGTCAGAGACCATCTTTTTTGTGACCGATACACTCATGCGATATTGTACATTTGATGTTGTCACGATTTAATCATAACTTGTTTTATGGCTGAAGTTTAACTTTGTTACGTTAGAATAAAAGCTGAGTTTAGTTTGTGCATGTATCGACACTATTCTGTGAATGTGGCTGTTGATTATGGGTGGAAATCGGAAGCGATACAAAGCAAAATTGTTGATCGACCACAAGTTCCAACCCTTTTGGGGTCGTTCAGTCGTTAATACGTTTGGTCACGAACATTCGCCGGCAATTTCGTGCATAATTAATGCGTTCATTTGGTGCCCCGCATTGGTTTACACAGGTGGCGGCTGTTTCGTGATTTTAAATGCGAAACAGACGCGAAACGTTTTTATTCTTTGCTGTGTTCATTCCAACTTTTAGCGCAGGTCGAAATAGGTTACTGTTTCTTGTACATCGATCGAATTCGAACAAACAAGTTCATATCAAAAGCATGATCATAGTCTGATAGTTTCTACATGATACAATACTTCCCAACATATAGGCAATAATGAATAAAATCAATATTTATTACAAGTAAAAAAGTTTAATCAATTTAGCTTGAATGCAACCAAATGTAGTATAAATCATGTATATACTGATATACATTGTAGATGAAAGTGCTTGAAGCTCAATGTTTAATAAATGTTTCCGTTTATGTTTCTAGATCGATGATTTGATAAAAGTCCGCGCGATAAATCATCCTAAATTGAGCAGCATGTGTCACCAGCTGACGATCAACGACGACGACGATTATCCTGTCCTCCGGAATCTGTCGCGGACTACCAGCGCCTCGGAAGTTTCCACCCACACGCACCGGATATCGAACGGGACTGCTAATGGCACGCACATTAATGGTATTACCGGCACACCAACCCGACATAGGTATATTTTTGAACTATTTCCTGCCGGAAAATCAATATTATCTGATTTGGAAGGGAAACAAACTGAAATGAAGTTAATATTAATAACCCGAATTAGAATTAAATTTCATTGAACATAAATAATTTTCTTTGCGTACATTTTCATTAGTCTATTTTCATGTAAATGTAATTGTATGATTCTAGAAAAACAAACAGCGCGCCTGTGAAGTTGCAATGTGCGAACGGTTCGCTGCCGTCCGCAGGATCCTTGGCCGACATTTTCGACCTCCTCTCCGCATATTCATACCGACCCATTCCCGAGGAGGAGTTCCGCTATTCACGCAATGGACGAGATGCATTCAGGATAGCGACGTGGAATTTGCATGAATTTACATACGAAAAAGCGCAAAACCTGGGCGTTCGTGAAGTTATATGCAGAACAATCTTAGAAAATAGGTACGCATATCAACATTCATTAAAATACGTGTGCATACTAGTAAGAAATATAAATTTCAGGTGGTCAATTGTATGCGTACAAGATATTCAGGAGGAAGATGCTTTGGAGCTCATCTGTGAGGAGTTAAACGCGCCCAAGTTGCGTAAAGTTTGCGAACTTCGAACGAACAGTTACGAGTGGAAATGTTTAGTGATACGTCATTCGCGGTTGGCTTATATTTATGATGCACACAGTGGAGGTGAGCAAACAAGTCATTTATCACAATTCATTATTTTCTCTAAATTATCATGTTTTGTTAGGCATTGGCGTCGAACTAGTTGAATTAAATAAATACGACGACACATCAAGTTGGTCTCTTGCCGAGTTCTCCATAGGTCTTAACAAATTCCGTCTCCTCAACGTCGAATATACAGAGCAGTCAGATGCCAAGGATATTGAAGACGGCCTCGCGGATATAGACGCCGATCTAACTAATGGCAACGATGATTCGAAGAAAAATGGCAATAAACAAAAGCATACGGACGCTCTTCCCTTCGTGCTCGGGGATCTTACCCACCTGCCGAGTTTTGAGCGGAAGGATTTCAAGCCTATCGTCCCGCTGCATACAAACACAGCGTGCGCGCATGTCAACCAACGTTACGCCGATAATATCCTGATCGCCACCGACGCCCGTAAATCCCTCACTGGCTCCTGGGGTATGGTGCGCACCGGGCTCACTCATCTCGCCATCCCAAACGGCTGGAGTTGGGGCGGGCCGGTCTCGCCACACTGTCCGCTCTGGGTAGAGATCTACGTAAACGCGCCACTCACGAATGGCTTTTGATACATATGCTACGCGATAGCTATTTATTTTATTACCTTCATAACGTTCCTCATTGCAACAGACTCAGTTTAAGTTACCCGCGCCATTTTTTAAATTTAGTATTGAACTTAATCTTGCGCGATGGTGTGATGGGAGTTTTAAGCAATTTTAATTTATTTAGCTCAATTTTACTTACATACGTACGCGTGAAGAAGACGAGTCAGACTGTGATAGTTCGGTCCACGTTTAATTGATTTTTCGATGGAGAACTCGTTGGTTTGGGTAGTTGCTATACATTATAGCAATGTTTTACTTTTTAAATCAATGAACTGCATAGCAACTGCCATTATTAAGGACATTGATTTAATCGCGTTGTTAGATAAGTTCACATCATTTATTCACAAACGTGTTTGCTCGGTTTGAAAATATTTAACAAGCCCAGAACATGCCCCAACCAATGTTGTAAAATGTAACACAAAATGGTAAATCAACAATGTGATAACTGTTCAAATAATTGTTAACCAAAATTAAAAATTGTACAGGAATATAAGAAAGAATTTACCAATTGCATAAAAGAAAATATAAAAACTATAATAATTATCATAGAATATAAAGTAAAACATTATGGAATAAATAATGATTTAATAACAAGTGACAGATTTAAAATCACTATTTGTATCCTTGGTTGGTTGTACACATAAAGCATGTGTGTGGTGCAAAATAAACCATAAATTGTTTACAACATGACTTTAAAAATACCTATACAAGTCCAACCAATGAGGATAGTATGAATTTTCGTACATCTACTTTATAACAATAGTATCTTACTTCTTCTTACGGTCCTGAATACATTTAGGGCAATACCACTTCCCTTTGGGTTTCGTTGTTAAACCGACGCAAGCAAAGTGAAACCATTCAATTGGACACTATAAAATGATTTAAATGTATAAGTTCTGATATAATAGTAGAATAATGTCATTCTTACATCTGAATTATCACAACCAATCATTTCCCCATAGGACACTTGATGGCAGAGGCAATAAGTTGGCTCATTGGGGTCCACAGGCATGTCCAAAACATCACCAGGATGTGCAATACCAAATGAAGCATCTGCAACTATAGTAATCCATTTTTATAAATAATTATTGCAAAGTAGCTAAACTTTGCCTACCTTCACTTGTTGTATTCTTATCATTATTGCTAGTGCTGTTTCCACTTGTGCTTGCATTTCCAGTGCCTTTCTGCTTCTTTTTCTTACTTGACTTGACTGCACCTGTGCTATCTTCTTCACTTGAATTACCTGATCTCTTTTTCTTTTCACCCTTGGAATCTTTAAGTTTTTTTCTTCCTTCTGGCAACAATAAATTTAATAAGAAATACATAAATTGTAATGAATAACTTACTCTTGCCAACAGCAGGTTCATCTTGATTTCTTGAACTGAGTGCCTTATCTTGAATTTCTGATTCAAATCTAGCTAAGTCTGTATCCAATCTTCGAATATGTTTGTCAACAAGTTCATAAGTTTGAATTGCTAATTGAACCTTATCATCTCCATATTCCTGTTAAACCACACATTAATAAAATCTGATGAGTATTGAAATAAATGAGAGTTACCTTGGCTTTATTAAAAAAGTTCTGTATTTTATCCAGTTTTTGTTTTTGGTCATCCTGTGATAGAGTCTTCTGTGAAGTGAGATAATTATTTGCAAGTGAATCAATATCCTTCATCAGCAATTGGGCTCGGGTGTCTAAATCGCGCATTAACTTAAAATTTCGTTGTAATTCAATAGGCAGATGTTCTAAGCCTAAAACAATGGAATTAACGATTTACTGTATTACTATACCATAATATAGAAATTTATTTTCTCAACTATGCCTAAAAAACAATATGTTTACTTACTGTCTAAATAATGTTCTAAGTAAAGAGCCGAAGACATGGTATTTCAATATTCAATTAAACAAATTGCACTGACTAAATGTATAGCGATCGTGAGAATGTAAAATTAATTTTTCAGAGGTAAAAACCGTCGCCTTTTGTGTTTTGGAAACTAACTAACCTACAAGTAACATACAAAAAGACTACGAGCGCCCTCACTAGCGAAATATTCAAACTGCATAAGTAAAGCATCTGCATTCTGCATATGAAGTTTGAAATTCGATATTAAAGCATTTGTAAATCTGCGTAAATTATTTATGAAAGAAGTACGGAATGGAACTTGCTCCTGCACATTTGCCTGCGGTGCAGTGAAATATCAAATGTCATTTAATTCTAAATTAGAGCGTTGTCAAAAGTACAAATACAAAAACTTAACGTGGAAATAAAAGAAAACATCAGATGCACACCAGTTGCAAGAATTAGCGTCGCCTATTGAGGATTTGCTTCCTGCAAAATCTAAAGAATAATAAAGCCTACGCAAATTCTATGAACTGGCAACAAGAATTATACACGAAGTTTTAATTTGAAAATAAATTTGTGGCATATTTTTCAACATTAGCAAAGAAAAGGAAACATGGTTCATTTAGTCAATGTTAAGAAGTATGATTGATGAATTAAGAAGTATTGAGTATGATCTAAGAAACTCTTTGGACTTAAGCTAATGGATTCAAATTAAAGAAGTCTAAAATCTTTTATGCTGATGACATTAAAGAATTTTTCTCATCTATGCCAGATTATCACCTGGAATTTATCTGGTTTTCAGTTACAAAGGTTGGTTTAATTTTTGGAGTCATAGGAGCAGAGAATTCAAATTGATCATGTTGAAAATGTCAGCTTAGCTTTAATAATCCACATTCCAGATACCAAAACATAAACTGAACGACAATTTGTAATTGGAGGTGAATTTTAAGTAATTTGTAAAAAATATATGACACTGCAACCACTGAATTGTGCTCGATTTTCTCTCAGTTATCAAAATGGAAATTGTACACAGCAGCCAATAGAAATTAACAAATTTAGATCTCTCTTGCAAGTGGTGACTGAATTTCTCAATCTACCTGAATCACAATTGTAGCCTGGCCAATGTCTAAGGACCTCAGCAACATTGTTGTTTGACTCAGTGGCTGACAACATCACTGAAAAGACATGGGTGGCGGAACTCAACTATAGTTGCTGAAGGGTATATTGATCATTCTATTAAAAACAAATGAAAATCCAAGTGTCTACTCTATCAAGAATGATGACATTGATGCAACTACAACTACTACTAATATCAGCATCAATGACTACATATTTCAAAACGATCTAGAAAACCAAAATATCAATACAGGATAATTTCATTTACTAATTGCAGCAACATATCCAATATTTTTAATGTACCTTTCACGCCAACCTTTAGAAATTTAAGAATTTTAAAAATTAGATGGTGATCACAATTTGGAATAGATGTTAAACAAAATCTTTCAAAAAACAGTGGTTCTGGTGGCTATCCGCACTATTGGCGGATTATTTTTCAGAACAGCACACTCTCTTTTCCATTGGCCGTATGGTCCATATTCAGCATGAAGTATTATTAGTCCGGTTTTTCATTCATACTTAGGAGGGTAAACTATGAGCACATGCACATTGTCTTTGGGTGGTTGCTAGCCGATCCCAAAGAACAGCACACGTTTTACGAAATACTTTATTTGCTCAAATTAAGTTAGTAGCTAATACAATATAACTAATAAATACAAAGTAATATGTATATATTTATTATAATAATTTGATTTAATTTTGTAATTAAAACCATTAGTAATCAATAAAATATTATATCTATAACGATAGTTTTACATATTTTGACTTTCATAAATTTCATCTACACAACACATTATTAGTTCGCAGCACTAACAAATTTCAGGGAGTAATATCGTTAACATTAAACAAAAATGATTTTAATTATTTAATTTAATTATGTATATGTGAAATTACTTCTTGTCGTTTAATTAGTAAATAGAATGATTGTCAAAGCTCTAGTACGGATTGATTTGCTAGCCAACTGAACATACACATGCTTAAAGTATTTTTAAAGATTATGAATTCAGTCATAATCGACATAAAAATAAAGCTTTATTTCAACGCATCTTGCAAGTTGCTTCATATATTTACAATATGTAAAGCACTTCAGTTTCTCTATAAGTATTTTCAATGTAACTTGATTGTATATGGATCAATAATCTTATAGTTTCATTATTGTTTTAGCTGCCTATAAATAATTACTATTCGAACTCAGGCACACTTTACACTTATATACATCTGGAGAACACAAAACACATTCGTCCAGCACTTTCATAAACCGACTAGTTGTTAATTAATAGTATATGCGCAATGCGATACGTTTTATTTGTGAAGAAATTTGTTAGTTAGACCTAGCTATCCATTTCCGAGCTAAACGATGTTTTGTTTCATTGAAATAGACGAAAATACTTTATTCACGAAACTAACGATAGCAGACGCGGGTTGATCCGGATCCATGTCTGCAAACAAATGACACTGATTGTCGGAATTGCTTGTTGGTTTTCGTGCAACAAAACCGAATATTTTCCTGAAAAATTTATCATTTATTAGTAAACATAAGAGAAAATAATTATATATAGATATGTCAAATGTTTTACCTCGAAGGATGTTGTGTGTCTACAGTGGTGGCATTCCATCGATTGTCATCGGGGTCCAAACCACAGTGCGAGATTGAATTGATAGGGTAGTGCTTTCTAAAGAAAAGCTCGCGTTTGTTATCCGTTAATGTAATGCCCTGCTTATTAACTTTAAAGTGCACGATCTTCGCTTCAGGTTTTTTCATCTTCAGCAAATTAAAAACAGCTTTCCGCACTGCTTGCGGGCCCGTCAAAGATTCCATATCGATGGACAGCAGATAGTAGACATTGCATGCTGCACCTTGCACAAGAAGCATTTGCGTTTGAGTTGATATGGCGTCCACGGGAGCAATGTCGTTTTCTGGCAATAGTAGACGACATGGCAACGCAATTTGCGTAATCGAATGTTGATAAACCAATGCGGACAGCGATGTAAATACCGGTTCATTCGGGCAGCCCTTTATTCGAACACCGCGTGACGTTGGCTCAATTAGAAAATGTCGGACGAGTTCCTCTTTATTTGCTGCGGCCGCTGGCGCCATTGCAACTTTTAATGCCATGCCAAATCCGCCTGCAAAAGTATTCGAGTTGCGCACAACAAAGGTGCCAGGTGGCTTGTCACGTAACATGTTAATCGCTAAAACCATCAAATAATTTTGTAAATCAATTGTATATCTAGGAGGCGCAAGAAAACGTTGTTACCTTCATCTCGAGTAATCGTAGGTTTATACCAAAACTTGGATGAATCGCTGACAAACTTAACGTGAATTGGTGATACTTCTTGGGTGGGTTCATTAGACGAAATCGAACCACGTCGAGACGTTCCTTGATATATCGAAGGTGACGAAGAGCCGTTTTGACTTTTCGGGCTGTAACTATCAGAGAAATTGCGTGCGGTTGAATGGAAGAAATCTTTGTCATTGGTGAAGTCTGATGGTGAGTGCAAAATTGGATGGTCCTTTCTACATGCGCAAAATCAAACACAATGTTAACAACTTTAAATGATTACAAGCATCAATCGCGGATCATACAGAAGAACTACCCACAAGCTTTTAATCCGCAATTGATAATTCAAACTACATGCGCATACTTTGTTATACAATATAAGAAGTAGTTTTCAGTGTTACGAAATTTAGGAATAGTGCACGAAGTGCTGTACGTGCCGAATTCCAGCAACCTGTACTCTATAGTATTGTCTAGATTTAAATTCTACGGTTAATTGTAGACAATCTCGCTCAAAATTACCTCGCATTCGAATCCGACCACTTCTTATTGTTTGTTGAAGCAACACGTCTATAATCGTCGCGTTTTAGATCATGACAAAATTTAATACAGTGGCTACATTTTTATGAACAACTCACCTCACGGTCGTTGGACTCTTGGGAGGTAAACGCTCGCCGGGTAAGTCAAATTGTACAGTAGGTGTAGAGCTATTTGCGTATGGCGTGCGGGCCACTGGGAACGCGGGGGTTTGAGGCCGCGAAGAAACGCTATGTGGTGAACTTGAATCCACCTCTGTTGATCTCCATGTTGAATAATCATCTTGGTACTACACATACAATAGAAATGATATAAAATCAACGCACATATACTTATTAAAATTTACAAATAAATATACGAACACAGTTTTAATAGATAGCAAATTAATTGTTGGATTAGTACCTGCCATGCAGACGAGGAGTTATTGGTTGAACCGTTATACAAGTTATTTGCTCCGTTGGACAAGTTTGCCATTAAGTCGGATAGGACAGCAATTCGCGGATGAATTTCGTCGTTTGCGCGTGGTACATGCACAATACCCACCGGGTTAGTTATGTTATTGCCATCTTTATTGGCGGCCTGGTTGGCCAAAGACAACAACCCGCTAGCGTCTTGACGCGCACTGACGTCACCGCTCCTTGACGGAGCTCGGACGACATGTCCCAAAGGATGAGCCGCTAGCGCGTTCTCGGGCGACGACGACGAAGTGCTCTGTAATATGTGCAGTTTTGGTGTGCAAATCTTTGGTGCAATCAAAACTATATTCAATTATAAACTTTCAATTACTTTAGCGTATTCCTTTCTGAGGGCAACAAATGGCCGCTCAGTCCGTCCGTTGGTGTAGTTGCTCTTCGTTGAGTAGCTAGAAGTAGAACTTGGCGACATCGCTGACTGCTTTGTATTTATATGCAAGGGTATCGTGAAATCCTCATCGTCATCGGCGAAGGCGGTCGTGTCGCTTGTGTATCCATCCTGTCGGTGGCTGGCGGATTGTCTCAGATGCCTATTTTGAACGCTGCGGAGTTCCGTCATCAAACTGTGTTGATATGGTTGGCGCTCCTCTTTTCGTTGCATTTCACGACGTTCCTTGAGCTTCATCTGTTGCTTCTGCAACCAGGTCAGGTTACTGCTGTTTGTAGAATACCTGAAAATATTATTTCAATTAGGTGTGTTCACACAATAAATATAATTAGCATTTTCTAGAACACTCATTATAGTGGCTTCCAAAAACCAACGAGTAAGTGTGACCCATTTATAACAGGAAGTAGAGTATTTTTAATCCGAGACGAAAGCGCAGGACCGTCAATTACATTAGCATGTATAAAACAATAAAACAAAAGTATTTCAAAACCTCAGAAAAGTTATTTGCTTTTCCGTTTCGAATAGAAATTGGCTTCGTTCGATTGTACACACAAACAATACGCAAATCTGAGCATCTGGGTTATTTTTAAGACTGGTGTTGTTGGAGCACACTGTTTTGTAATAAGAATCAGACCTTGGGAAATTATTACGTTCATGTTTATCGAAGTTTTTTGGCATCGGCTCGAGCCCAAGCAAAAGTCCTGTGCAACATTTTCACAGCACGGATGAATCACTGAGCTTTTTTTAAAATCTCATTAACGGTGTTTAAGTGCAAGGATATCGTAATTAATCCGAGCAAACATTTATCCAAGTTAAAATTTCATGATAATAAACAAGTTATTTGAAAGATTTGTACAAACAAATGTATGCTCTAAATTAAAGCAAAATGTGTTGGATAGTTAGATGATCCAATTAAATAAATTTACAGCTTAATTGACTTCAAGTTAACTTTAAACTTGAATGAATAACAATCGTTGGTTTACTTTGTTTGGTTGTATCACAAGCTATAATGTAATAATATCCAATTCATTCCACCTACGACACTCCTTTATAGGAGACAGAACCGAAAACAATTATGGGCTTTCAATGCGATGTAAATGGTATGACGTAACAATATCGGTTACTTCGGAATTTAACGAACCATGAACGATTTTCGCTTCCGTCGAATCACACCTATTTCAAATCTTAATTTAAGCCAATGATTCAATTTTGTAAGTGTAATTAAACGATCATTTGAAGAATCTTATTCCTTAGTTATACATGTCTGTAGCTATTCTTATAATAATGAACTAACTATTAAAGTATATATGTTTCAAAGAAATAACACTTTAATTCCGAGCTTTCTTCAACTTCAATTTGCCGCTACCGCGACTACAGACATAATACACAATTTAAGTAGGTTAAAAACCACACATGTTTCAAAAATAGATTAAATCAAGTCTTTACCCTTCTCGCAAAACATTTTAGAGGGTGCATTCATCACATTTACAACAAAATATATTTGGTAGTGTTAGATATTGCCCGAATAGATATAACTTTCGCAATAGGAATGAAATTAAAAACCAGATGGTATTTTTACATAAGGTCAAGCCGTATTAAGAGTGCATAAAAGAGATAGTAATTGTGCCACTTACGTTTCGCATTGTTGGCTGTCGCTGAATTTGCCAGAAGTCCGAAATGCACTTGGTGATGACCAGCTCTCGGAATTAGAATAATGAGTACTCTTAAGACTGGATACGTTGTCGCCATTTGTTCGGAGCGTTGAATCTGTATAACTCTTCTTAACTGGTTCCTTAGTCCTTACTGAATAGAACTCCTCTCTCAGGCTTTGCTTCACTTGCGGCTCCTGGCGGTAATTCGCTGCTAAAGCTTTGCTGGTAAAGATGTTATCAATCGCATCTCCCCCACTACCGTTGTAGGTGTTGTATCCGCTTTTCTGACTATTGTTATTATTATTAAACGTGTTCGAACCGTATTGAGGATAAACTTGTGTTTGCACTTTGTTGAGGGTGTTGCCTTGACTTTTGTTAAAGCTTGCCTTCCGGACTAAGCTCGGGCTGGAGAGTTTTTTGGTGTCCCCGATCATGGTGTTGTTGACACCGTAACTGAACGGTCTACTGTCCTGCCTCGCGTGGTATGGTATGTTTTTGTCTTCCTCCTCGTCTATGTATCGAACATTTTCCAAATCGTTCGTGTTCTCCGTCGGAATCGGCTGAGGTTTAAGATCGGGAATATTTTGCACTGTCAGCATCATGTCCGAGAGCAACTCGTCCAACTCGCGATGTTGGTCCTCTGGTGAAAGGGGGGACGGTTGACCGGTTAGTGGGGGACTAGTGGAGGCGTTGGTGTTTGCATGCTGTTGATGTCCTGATGGGAAAATGCAAAATTTTGCGTCAGCACTGGCACATGGCTCGTTAGTAGTAGTTAGCATCAGTCATTACCTGCTGACGATATTCCGGAGTCCATCGATACGGTTAAAGGACTGGACACCGCACCTGGGGACAATTCTTGTTTCTTCGCTATTGTAGCATAAATGCTACCGTCCAAGGGACCGAAAGTATGATTTACATCATCTGCAATTTAATCGTGCCTGAATATACAATAAATTGTGCTTAAAAATATTTTGTTTTGCTTCATTTCGGCACAAATAAATTTTAATATTCCTAATTAATTTCTAAAAAATTAATTTAATTTAAATTAATTAATTTAGCTTGAAGACAGAGATGTTGATAATACGCACACGAATTTACAAACTCTTGTTGAACGTGATATTACAAACCCAATTCCAAATCTATTTCTAAACAAACACATTAAGACGTATTAGTTACAACTGACAAGGCTATGAAACCTATTTCAAAGATGCCTTTTTACCGCTTTCTAGTGAACATGATGCGAAACACATTTATTCAAAAACTCACACTCAATAACACCAAATCGACGTGTAAAAGTTTATACGTTGTAACACTAAACCATTTGTAAGCAAACCACTTTGAATTAAGATTTTGATGTTGGAACTCACCGCATTACGTCTCGAAACAATTATTTTACAAGATTTGCGTCGTATTTACACGACGTAGCTGTGTGGTATATTTTCTAATCGTTTGAATTCACAACTAAGTATTAGAAATCGAACACGCCGCCGGTAATGGTAAAATAGTAAAACGCGGATAAGCGCGCCGGGAAATCTCGAAGCTGGAACAAACCTCGCGCTAGACGCTAATAGCAGAGAAACCACTGAATCGACGTGTATTTTATTGGACGGCATGGGCCACATGGTAGGTTCACTCATTTTATTTTGAAGCGGCAGAAATAGGTGTGTGTGTGTCTGACGACTGACGAAAATAACATCCAGCTTTGGTTGAATTACAATTGGAGATAGGATTGAGCCAAACTGTGCGTGCGCAGTAATTTAAAATTCCTAATCCTCCAGGTAATTTTAATACACTATACAGGATGCAATCACCGAAATTGCATGATTCTGAGAAAGATAGAAAGGTGAACGACACGTGGCATAAAAAACCATCAGCCAATCTTAAAAATATCAAAATCTCTAAAATTTAATTTGATAAATTAGAATTTGTTGTATTTGAACTAATATCGCAAATATTAAACCTGATAAGAAAATGTACCCATCAAACTAATGTAATCTCCGTCATAGGGATTAAGTGTAACAATAGATTGGATAAAAAAAATGGTATCCAAAACAACTTCAAAGTTTAAATCACAAAATTGCTACTACACATCGAGATCATAGGTCCAGTACACCTGTTACACCGGTTAGAAATAACCGAGACATAATACTTTTTTTGCTAAACCAGTGCGCCTCTGTTGAGAGCGTAATAATTTACTTTGAACGTCTTGCCACAGTATTTGTTTCGAAGCTATTTTTATACAATTTTCGCCTTTTACATGAAAAGAATACATAATGACTGAGACTATACCTGAATCAGTATCTTCATCTTCCTCAGATTCATCTCCTTCGAAAGGACTATCTGCGCGAGTTATCCTATCATCGTTCATGGTTACAGGCACCGCTGGAGTGGGCGCAGGGCCAGGATGACGACTTTCAGGGCCAGGACTAAAGTGTAATTCGATTGCACCGTCAATAGGAAATCGAGGATCTGTAAACAAAATCGTTGTTGCAGGAAACAACCACCATATTTTGTCGTGTTGTAACCGTTTACTCACCATTTGAAGCACCATCTAAGTCCTGTCTGGTAAAGCTAAGTGTATTATCGGAGACGGCACACGTATGAAACTGACAAGCAAAAATAGTCTCTCTATCGAACTCCGCGTGATGATAACACTTTATTAGAATGTCGCCTCGGAGTTGCAGTCCTCGACGACGTTCGCCAGCAACGTTTACGGTAAATTGCGATACACCGCTTGATACTGAATAGATGCCTTTGATAAAAAGAAAGAAATCATAATATACCCGTAGAAATATTTTATACTGCAATATTTTTATACTTACCAGAAGTGTAAATTGGTGTTTGTCCCTCATAAAGTTTTAAGAAAGCTCTGCATCCGTTATTTTGGTAGGCAGGGGCACCTAGTACGGTGACATGAGTTAAATACAAAGGTGCCGAATTGATTTTTATGCTGTGCGAGAGAAGGCCAGCAAAATATGCAACGTATCTGAAGAAAGGAATAATATAACCAATACCTAATTTGTATAATTGCATGAAATTAGATTATGCGAACCTCTTGTTTGATGGCAAATACAACGGACCAATGTTGTCGTCGAGGAATTTTCGCATAGAGAAACGGTCAAGGGCCTGATCTGCGCTCCCGCAAATGTTTGAATAGTGCATATATGAAGCTACCACTACACCCAATTTATCTTTGCCTCCCCTAAAATTAAATTAAACCCATTCGCATAAGTAATGATTCAGTGAGCTACGAATTGCTTATGTACACAAGAAAAGCCGAGAAATCTACACAAAAGGGAAGAGTAAACATGAAACATTCTTCAATAAATCAAATAATTTTTCAAGTTTGCTTAAGAGATAAGGCTTCTCGGAACACTGAATCAACACTTGTCGATTATTAAATATAATTAAGAGAAATGATAATATGAACAGCAGTAAAATTGCAATTTTTTTAAGTACCGGGCGTGTATTACGGCGATTCGATGTTGGTCCGTAGACAACCAGGAATCGATCTGTTTACACACGCTACAGAGACGTTCCAACGGTGGTGCTAGACGCGCTGACCACCCAACTTCTTCGACATGCTTATGTTCGTTAAGTAGAGCGGCCCTCGGCTCAGACAAGTTGAACACCTAGAAAACAACATAGTTAATAATGGAACCAGCACCATTGACATGATAACAACTTACTTTGTAGTTATCACCGTGTTTGTTGATTAGCATGTGGGATGCTTGACGATGTCCCCGCCGGAATACCTGCGCACTACACGTCGCTGGAAACCACAGCGCGATAATGCGCTCCGTCACGTAGCTAAGATCCATCCCGTCTCCGCCGCCTCCTTTGTTGCTAGAAGATTTTTTTCGACGGGGCTGCGACGTTAAGGCATCCGTGAATACATTCTGTTGTTGGTAATTAGATGTTATCACCTGCTATAAAGATAATTTCAGATTAGATTTTGATATGAATAAATGGTGCAGCTAAACTTACCGTCTTGTTATTTCGATTCCCATTTTTTGCTTCTTCATGTGTGTGCTGTAATCAAATAAAACAATAACTAATCAAAATAATTTTCGGCAAAAAGGTCATTACAGTACAAAATCTCAAAAAGAGCAAGTATTTAATTGGTTGTTTACAATCTTACGCTCATAAATTAAACATTTGTTGATTTTGTATAATTGATTGGCGTTACGTGCGACTAGTATTAGTTCCGACAATCCGACCAGTATTTCTTGTCTGCTATGCATTCTCGATTGGCACGAACGGTCGGCGGAGTTATCTTCTGGAGGCATCATGCAACGCGTAAACTCTCGCCAAGCAAACGCACCGGTAAGTAAATTTTTGCGCCTGTATATTTAATGCATTAGATAATCGTTCATAGCAATGGAAGGATGTTGAAATCAAGCGACTCAGATGCTAGCGCCAATTGCCGGTTGAACGGTTTGTTGTTAGAGTGAAACATGCCAATTTTTAAGGCTCGTGGAAAACATTAAAATGTAAGAAAATTAATGCAAACAGATGGCGTCACACCCTGGTTGGCGCCGGTAATCAACTTTGAACTGTTCCAAATCTGCGCAAAACGTACCCAAGTATTACACAATTCGATTGAGGGAAATAAAGTAACACAAGTACCTAGTACTTAAGTAACGATCATATTAAATAGAAGCATGCATACATGCCTTTAATACTAGATATTTTGCATTAGTATTACCTTGTTTTCTATGTAAAACGCGACGTGATGTATCGTGAACGCAATTCGGTATAAAAGTTTCGCACTAATTTGTGGTTCTTCCTCTCGTTGCCTCTGACAACAGCACTTAATATTTTTATCGTACATGACTCTTCGTATTGAATTTTTGGTGTGTGGAAACGTATACTACTGCTGCATCCCGTGCAGAGGGGATTGCGAATGCAGCGGGATGCCAGAATGCAGAAGCCGGCAAACATTGGGAAGGAGACACGCCCGCGCGTTACTTCCTCCCTACTTCCACCGCCAACTCTGCCTCCGTCTCTCGGGGGTTCCTGCGGCTTTTAACGCAACGGCAGTCTGCATTACGTGTTTCCTCTGGATCTGCCGCCGCAGGCGGATAGAAGAACCGAAAGATACCCTTGCAGTAAAAAGAGATAAAACGATCCCGTTCCAAACGGGATGCAAGCAGATAAATAACAGACAAATTTCTACACGTGACAACACATTGATTGAATGGCGGTGTAAAATCAAAGACGCAGAGGTTTTTCGAATCATCGACTGTTGAGTGTCATAAAATCTAAATCGATTGAGCAATAAAGATTTATTATTATTCTATCAATGTAAATAATAAACGTTCTATCTCTTATAGTAATATTTGCACAATCACGCAAACGTTTTGCACACATAAATTTCCCAACGCGTCCCAGCAAGGTTTAGTTTGCAAGACCGTTAAAAGTTATTCGCACAATTCGCGATTCAACACGGTCATACGACTGGTCGGACAGGTCATATAGCTAAACACTGCGTAAATTCTCAGGAAACCCTTCCCGGGAGTCGAAAGAACGAGTCTGGTTCTCGTGAACGTGAGCACGTCTCCGAAAGGCTTTAGTTTACGTATACGTACACCGCGACCACAATGACAGCTAAGTCCAAATAAACTTTTTCAACTTGTCACATAACTCCAGTGCTCACTTCTCGTGTTACGTTCCATCTTCACACTTGAAAACTCCTTGAAACTCTTTTCCTACGAAATATTAGATGTTCATTGCGAAATAATGAATGCCTGCCGTTGCCTGCAGGAAACCGTATACAGGCTGCATTAACAAAGCGTTCCATCAGATTATTGAATAATTTCCGATTATGACGGCAATCGATAAAATTGGCTCTGGAAAGCTTTTAGCGAAAGTGAAGCTATAAATTGACGCAAAAACTTCATTCACCTGCATATGAATGTGGGCAGAGGCCGCGGGAAGTACGAAATAGCGTTCTTTGAACGGGCGCTAACTCGAATACCTCCGGCATAAATTATTATCCATTTAGGTGAAACCCATTAGAAAACTCCAGTATGCTGTAACTAATTAAATTGCTTCTTAATGTGGCAAATAAGACCCATTACATCTTAGGGTGTATTTATGTGTGCCTACTTTAATACCCTTGTGTATATATTACGTAAACTCGATAGGCATGTGCAAAAAACACGTTAATATGATAAATTACAGAATAAATAGAATAAATTGCAGCACCAACTCAACATCAATTCAGTGATATTACTATTTAATTAATCATTAAAATGTTTTTTATGTGCGGCGACGCCTCGAAATCCAACAGCATGACTAGAATGCATCTAAAAATATTACAGCAACTTTTAAATCTAATTTTAATTAAAATCTTGAGCAGTGACTAACAAATGACATTATTACATTACATTTAAAATGCTTTGAGTGTGTGCCATGTCAGCCGATTAAAAACAACACTTGAAATCAGTGTCCATTTGTGGATGAGTAAATAACAAAATTTTTTGGGTGCGACCTGACCAAACCCGTACGAGAGCTTAATTTTTAAGTTAAACTTAAATAAACACGTAAGCATGAGGCGAATTTTGTGGAAGGCAAATAAAAACTCTGAAGCATGTGAAACACAAATATTTTTTTAAAAGCCCCGATCGCTTTTAAATAAATGTAAGTGCTTAAGATTACCTTTGGTTCGACATTTGTGCATCGTGTGCTTTTAGTATGTCAATGCTAAAAGTGGTGAGTCTCAAGTAACACCTAATGTTTAAATGTTGATCTAGCCTAGCCCTAACTCTCCCGGCAACAAGCGATGACTCCACAGGCAGCAACATTTAAAGAAGTGCGTGCATGTGTAGTTATATTTAAAACGAGTCCAATTAGTCGCTGCCGTACTCACTGGAATGTCAGGTGGCGAGGTAACATAAATGAAAGGTTTGCACCAACTTGACAAATTCATCTCCGAGATTTATCACCGCCCGGACGCACCGAATTATGCATACTTCTCTGCGGCGAACCGACAAAAACCGCAACCGCGTACACACTAAACATTTTTCCGACCTATCCTCGCGGCGCGTGTGCTTTTCTACGTACTCGTTACTGAAGGAGGGATATTCCTGAAGATGCCATGCGCGTGCTTTCCCATCAGATAGAGCATTTCCAAATGACCGCAATATCGCTGCTCTTAATCGCCACCGCCACCGAGAACTTGAAATGTTTTTCAGAGTCACAATTCGCGCACATCCATACAGTTTACGACGACGTCGATCGAATGTCGCGCGAATTTGCCGAAAATCTCTCACACTTTCAATAAAATCGCGGCGCAAACTAACATGTGTTAATTTTAGTATTTCAAAATGCTTAATTGCCGCCGTCAGTGTAGCGCCAAGCGCATTCGCGTCGTCGAGCAAAATCGCGTTCTCCTCGCAGTCGCCGGCAAGTCACTGACTCCTCAGGACCAAGCGCAAAGAGACTAAATGCACAAAACATTCACGGGACGCTCATGGAGTGAGTAAGATGCAATAACAAAACACAAATGCGCCTCGACGTTTTTCTACAGGGCGTGCGGCGAAGCAGTCGCGGCTGCGAATATTGGAATCACACATGTCAAAAAAAGCTCCCGCGCTCGATACAATTTCAAAGCGCGATCAAAGCTTGAACTCACGTGACCTCGCAAACTATCAAAGTGCATTCGTATCGACGCTTAATAATAAACACATTGTCGAGCGCACATGAAATTAATAGCGTATTAGTGTTGCCACTCTGATCACTTTAGCTCCTGGGAAGATCAATCAAACTCGTATTAGTCACTGCGCGGCATGATTGATTGCATCTGTTTGATCAGCACACGAGGTATGCATCACCCAGTATAGAATAACATACTGCAATACTTATTCGATATTTGATATGAGCAGTGAACCCCAGTTATGCAACGCTGTTATATCTTGTCGCGCAGTATTGAATAAGCTAAAGTTAAAAAATTCAACTGTCTAACCAAATATGAACAAGGCATCCCTAGATGGTAACTTGGCTTTTTTTCTCCGAACTAACCGTCCTCGGATTAATACCCAACTGAATTGATTACGGAAGCATGTGGTGTTCGGCTGATTCAGAGGATTTTCTTCGCGGTACAGAGTTGGTAGTAAACAAAAGGTGATAAAAAAACACCCACACCATCTGTGTCACGCCATTGCCGTTTTCCGCTATTAATGTTTAGGTATGTTAGCGCCGTAAATAAGTTGTGTTCACTTAAATCGAAAAAAAGATGATCCAATTTTTCAACAATTATTCAATTGTTTTTTTGCATGGATGGATATGTTTGATGAGATATTTGACGATTGTTTTGAAGCGTTCATTTGCATGTGCGCAGTGCATGTCAGAGATGAAGGAAAACGGAAGGGAAGTGCCGTACATTAAACAGATGTTTTATTTAATGCAGACCTGCAATCGACTAGAACTCATCGCGAACGCGCGTCTGTCTGGCTGGAAGGCGTCACACTATAAAAAACATACGAAAATAGGCATATACATAGCCGCTTCCTTCAGTAAGTAATACAAGTGAAGCGATATGCTCAAATTTACGTGGGGACATTCAAATATGCCAAAAATAAGAATTACATGAAACTTCACAATTGAATTTTATACCAATCGAACGTATGCACAATAGATCATATCGCTTACCGGCATTAAACCTAATTAGCACGTGTTCCGAATAATTACAGCTAATTTGATTACAGGAAGTACTGGGTATTGTGAATTGAAATTCTAGGACTCAACGAAAATCAATAGGTTTTGCGTGGATTATGTTACGGACATCAAAATTGGATCATTGTATTGTATTGTTTATTTTGTTTTGTAAATGGCAAAGATAGAGAAGTCAAATTCAAGTGAATAAAGTCTAACGGTGGGAGAGTGAGGGGCATACACACATCGCTCGCTAAATATGTAATGTAGATGATACGGGTGAGCCGTGCCACTCGGGTCGTCTTCGGGAGCATCTCGTGCATCAGAATTTACGTCTTGACCTACAAACGCGAAGGGCGCGGCTAAGCTGAACTTAATCACTGTATACGCTGTGTACCATATTTCGCAGGACGTTACCTCACGTACGTCGTGATGTACTATCGTAGTTTTCAATATTGACTCCAAGTTACTTCACATTATTTCATAATAAATAAAGTTCGCAGAGTAAAAAATGGTCGCTGTTTATTTCTTGTGCTTATACGATACGATATAATAAAAATAAAATAAATAAAAACACACTCAGGCTTACCAAAATAATGTCTCCATTACATGGGGGCTTTTTGCGCTCCAATGTAGTTTGCACGGTTTGTATTTCCACCACCTTGCGGCGCATGGTCGTGCTGGTGGCATTCGTGCTGTTAGTCGCGTTGGTTTTGATCGTCGCATACACATCGTTATTGTTATTCGCACCGCCCACTGGAGGGTCATTGCGATTTATCTCGGAATTCGTAATCGTTCGTTCGCTAATTGTCGAGCCCGGCAAACTGTTCGATTTCTGCCATTGTCGATGAATTTTCCAGCTTGTGTCCGTAAACCGATCGGCCGCTTCCTACAAGTAATAAGAGCAAAACAAAAACCAATTATAACAAAGCAAAACAACTTAAAAACATAAAAAGGAAAATCGATTGCTTCGAGCATTCCAATGTGAGCAAAAGTGGAATATGATAACTTATAATTTATATTTAATGTTTAATTGCTGCTTTACTGCAGGTTATTATTAATGTAACTGCTACCAATCTAAGGTTTGACCCAATCACTGTAATTAAACTACATCTACGATATACCGATACATATTCAATAGTTTAATATAAAAATCATATTGCCTAAAAGTCAAGCTAAAGAGAAACCAGGAAATAAATAAATATCGAAAAATAAATGAGCCATTGTAACCATTTAAACTTTTTATTACAATGAATACATACTGTAATGAACCGGCAACACATTCGCGGAACTTTTATATTAATCTATCACAACTATAATTGATTGCAATTTTTAAGCATTCCCAACCTGCCTCGTTTATGTTAATTATTTCGTCCTTGCGCAAACCATTATTTGCGTCGCGTCCGAGCGCATGCAACAACGCAAATTTATTTATAATAATATTCAGTCACAACACCGCGGGCAACATGCATGAAAAAGTGTATACGTTTGATTTGTCACATATCAAACGCAAAATCCTACACTTGGAACGACCACATTAAAAAGCTATTAAATGATCAATATAACTGATTAATTAATTAAATTATTATGTTTATAAGAAGATTGTGTTATTACACAAGCGCATGACGCGTTACAAATGAATCACAAAATTTGTTATTTTTATTTTAGGATTCCTGACACAGTGATACTTCAGAGAAAGTTTGATTTAGAAGTGTTGCAGTTCCTGATCTGCGTCGACTCAACGAAAGATTTTTTATTATTCTATATCACTATATAAATAATTCAAAAACAACAAATCATGCTTTTTTAAACTCTACCCTAAGCCACATTTCTTTTCGCAAAAATATCTCCTTATAATGTCTAGCAATGAGTAGTGTATCAAATGCGCTTTAAATGTTTTATTAAAATATTTTCTCTGTACTGTGTCTAACGGTGTAGGTCCACCGCAAATGTTCGTCGGCGGTGCGTTTGTTGCGCGTCGTCCCATTCCCGCAGATGAACTTTGCCGATTATGAACAAGTTCACGTTGTTCACGAATGTGATTTTACGTCGGAGTTTGTTTTGCATTTACGATGTTAGCACCGTCGTCATGCTGCGCTGCAGTCCAGGTTCAACCAAGTACAATAATGTCACAAACGCGGCTCTGGTAACTGTACTAACTGTCTCCGCTGGATTATGAAAGGTAATTAATTAATATGAACTCTTATTACTACATAAGTCGACTATAATACTATAATCCTCAACTATTACTATGGTAGCACATATTCGCTGAACCAAATAAATGTAAATAATTTAATTTATTCCTACGATAAATAGGTGTCAATGGTAAATTTATTATATTAATTTAACCCACTTAAATTTTGGTTTATGTAGTCGACTTTTGTCAAGATCAAATTTTAATGCTGAGGTTAAATGCGAGTTACGATAATCTATCTACAGTACGAAGAAGAAACAAACACATGCGTCAGACATCAACGCAAAATATATTTGATCATCTTGTATCAACTTGTTATCGACTGACACAATCAATACAAGTCCTTAAATGTATTTGTTAATGAAATAAGATTTATGTAAACAGTTTTTTGAAGCAATTTATATACAAAGAGTTAATGATAGGTTACCCAACTAAAATGGGCGTGCATAATTTTTAATAATACAAAATAGTATTAATTTAACGTGATTAATTAATTTACCATATACCTATATGTATTTCTATTTTTGTTTATTAAAAATACTCAGTATTGTTATTTATCATTTCGCACCTTGGCTAAGAAAAGTGTTAGGCGTTAAATCAAAATTAATTCAATTTTACAGTTTACACTTGAAATAAAAAAAATCTTATCGATAACAATCGATCTTGAATTAATCTATAGTGTCTGATAGATGGTAATAATAATTACCTTGTATAATTGTTTAATATAATCCTTTTCCTTCATAATTTTCTCCGTTCGGGTAGCACCATTGTTCGTGTTTACAATGGACATTATTTCACATTATCACATTAACTCGTTTCCATCAGGTTTGGCTATCGGAATTAAATTTCGTCATTTTTATTTCGCACAACGATCGCGACTGGGTATGAATGTGAAATATGAATTCACCCGAAAGCAAAAGGTTAAACATGTACGATAATAATTATGCAGACGACGGGAAGAAATGGAGAGATAGCAATGTTTAAAAATTACGTCATCGGAGAACAAACGCGCGCGCGCGGGCACAAACAAACGATTTTACGGCGGTGATAAAACATTTGAATCGAAACGCAAATATCGAAACGAGCACTTTTTAGAGGACGTACACAATGCCTATATGCAAATGAGCACTTGCTTCTACCACCTTGAATTAGGATTGATTCCAATTCGTTTTTAACTTGTTGTTGTGATCACAAATAAATTCTATGGGACATGACGGCGTGTCGCGATGCACCAGCGTGTTTCGCGGTTGACTGAAACATGTAGAAGTTTTTTTCCTCCATTTCACCCATTATTTACTTATTAATTACGATGACGACGGCGTACCTGTTGTTACCGGCCAAGTTAAGTTGCTCCAGTGAGCGAGAGCACAAACCCACAGCCGACACCGACGCCGCGTACCAGCCGCGACTGATTGTGCATGATACGTTTATGTTTTTCAGCTCAGTTTGCCACTGTTTGTCGAGCGAGTCATGTGTGCCTATGTCGTATATGAAGTCGCGTTTTGCCACACGACTTGCCGCTCGTCGCTAGTATGAGTATGTAAACGGCGCATGTTTAACTTAAAATTCCCCCTTCACGCTGCTATATGTGTTTTAATGTGTGCACCATTTTTGCGCTCCAGCTACATAACAATCATCACAACGTCTGAGCAAAATATAAATTTTTCGCAGCACTGATGATGTGTAAATAAATAGAACGTTTCCTGCATTGGAACTGTGCGACTTGTAAACAAATGTCAGAATCGTTTATTCCAAATTGTAATTTGAGGATGATAAATTTAAAAATTATTTCATCAATATAAAATTATGCATGTGTGTGAATAGCGAATAAACAATGGAAGTGATCTAAAATAAGCAATGAGTAAATGCAGATTTTTATAGATTGAGCACACGTTTTTACTTAGAGAGTGTAGAATTGGCAAAAAACTGTAAACATATTATTTCAAACATGTTTGATGCACTAACATAGTCCATATTTTTGAAATACATATTTCGAATGATCCAAAATGTTTTATATTACATGTTCATCGAAACGCACCAACCGTTCCCATGGAAACACATATTTCTTGAATTTTTAAAATTTAGTAAAGTTTCTCAACTGACCACCCTGTAGCCCTGCATGAATATAAATTATAGAACGTGTACCAACATGCCTTCCACAATAACAAAAAGTTACCCAGTCTCACATTGCGCGATTGTATCGAAAAAAACCCAACCGTTGAAACAACAGATTTCGAAAATGTTTACTCCAGCAGTCACGTATACACGTTATTCATACGTCATCGGTAGTACAACCGATGTATTAAAATGATATACGTTAGGTGTACACACTGCCAAAGCTATACTGTTACAGCTGTACCTAGTAAACTATTTTTAGGTTTAAGTCTTTATTGTATAAAAATATCGATGATTCTGCAAGTAATCATGACGAGCGTGGCGTACCCACATGCACCATATGCACATATCCCATAAAATACACATTTGCGAAACGTAATTACTGGTCTGTTTCTTCGTGTTGTGTGCTCCGATTGCAATGTAATATAAACGTTGTATAAATCGCGCAGTGTCGTAAAAAGTGGCGAGTAGGCTAATTCGTGCGTGCAAATAGGAGCCAACCCAGTTCTCTCGCTGAAATTTCCAGAAACTCGGGATTTCACTGCGAATGTTAATTGAATTGAAAAACACCCATCGATGGGGTAATTTATGTCTGTTGGATAGCAAGCTCATTAAGCGCTGGCATGGGCGTCAGTCGCGACTCGTATTATAACATAATCCACTTCGATTTTGCATACAGCAAACGCGCGAAAGATGCGAACAAGATTTCAGCATGTTTGCTTGCCGTATCCCATTTTTTCTTTATTTTGCAGACATCGCGCAGACACTTTTCTTATAAAGTTTCTTATTAAGTGGTGAATTTTATTAAATCAACTTACCACAGCAATAAATGTCTTATTTCTTGTTTAGCACGTTCGGTAATGTAATGATATTCATGCATCAGATATATTAAAAAATACATATGTAAATTTTTATATTTTCTGTTAGTTTTATGCGCCACAGAGTAAACTTGTATTTGATGTGGCATTGCAACAGTTTTCGCAAGTTTTTTTTAGAGTTCTTACACAGATCTTTAGACAGATTCTAGGACTAACATCAAGATAGCTAATATTAGGTCAACTTTTATATGCGGCTGACCATCTTTCGTTTTAGATTATTGTAAAACTCTTATTACTCCAAATCAAAGCACTTGAATTTATTTTTGGAAAGGTAATATAAAGTCGATTATTTTTAAAAGTTAGAAAATTAATATTCATAATATAAATTCGCCGTTGAATTTCTGTACAAAACTCTTAGTTTACTATTTCTAAAGTTATTACTCTACGTAACAAATGAAAAGGCAGGCAAACGTTTTCCCGTAAATAAATTTATACCACACCCAGGAATCCATTTCCTTTTTGACGCACTTTTACACAAATATTACGCGACCTGGTTGTGCTGGAATCGCCGTGTTCGACCGAGGCAAACATTAAACAAACCTTCTGCTGGAAGAGAACTGGAAGCCGTAACTATTTATAATTCGATGCGGATCGATCTCAATCCAGTTCTCCGCAGTCTTTATTGTAATAACTATATGAGATGAAATGGAACGGCCTAGGCGGCAGTCTGCCGCAGCTGGATCAAATTTAATAAACGCCAAACGGATATACATATATACCATATATATATATATACAAGTTGAAGCATGTTTGTGGAAATGAACGAGCGCGCGATGTGGAAGTTGTTAATATTAGTTTTAAGCGTCATGCATATTTTTGCATGCATTGCTTAGGAAATTTTTTCAACGCAAGTTTTACACCCGATCCTCAAACTTTTACTTTTAACTTAGGTAGAAAGGCTCTGGTAGGCTTCTGGATATCTACATGAATACTCGCATTTAGCGATAAAACTAACTTTTACAAAGTGAATGGAAAAATATGCTCCCTGGCTAATAAATATGTATCATAATTAAACGATTTCGTCATTGCTTAGTTTCGCGAAATGTTCAAAGGCGAACCTAGTTGCACAACGCCGTGTACCGGCATAAATTATACTGCAAACAAGTTCAAGCAACAAATCGTTTTGCGGTTTTGGTGTAAAACAGAAGATCTATAAATTACAGACTGGTTTTTGGACTTCAGGTAGGTATACGCTAGCGGTTTCGTTCACCAAAAAACTCAGCCTATCGCTCCAGCTAAACCAAATCTGATGGTAAATTCTCAAGGATTTCAAACATTTCAACGCAATTTATTTGTTTATGATATTTTCGAATTAAACTCGAAATGGCTAGATAAGAATCAATGCGACAAGCTGACATCTTAACAACACATAAAAAATTGACGCGAGTCGCTTACAACATGCAAAAGTTCAACTTTGATCATATGAGGGTTAAAAAATAATATTCAAACTTTTCTCCAAGTCAAATAGTAATAAAAATATTTTTATAGCTTGGCAGAATTTAATTAACAACAAATTATTAATTTACAATCTCGCTTAAAGATTTTATTTATGATATATTAAAACTTTAGTCAAGATACATCATATGTCAATGGAAATTACTCATTAGTTTTTATTATCACACACACAAGTACTATTAACTACAACTGATCAAGATTACTTCATTTTATGCGCTTGTGTTTAGGTATTTTATTATAACATTAAATAATTGATGATCTAATTTAAGCACTCAATTCTAAACGATAATAAAAATCTCATATCCGTGAACAACATCAGATGTATTTCTTGACTAACAATTAAAACCCATTGATAAGCTCTTAAATTACAAATATTATATGAAATTACCTTATTCATTTTTCTATTTCTGAGCCAAATCCATCCAATACCCTCATTTGATTTTATTGCCAAACCGAGTAATTTACAAAAAAATCGTAAATTTCTGCGGTAACACAAACACTGTATCGAAAATAGAAAGGCTGCTAAAATATTTATATTCCTTTATCTCGTTCACAAATGATTTTTGTCGGCACTCGTATCTTCCTTTTGCCTTCACTTTTCCTCTCGCGCGATTTAAAGGTAATAAATATGTGTCTCTTGGGATATTTGGGACTGCGCCGTACGTGCAACTTTTTTTTCGGGCAATGTTTTCAATTTCAGTTTCGAATTTACGGCAGCACACATGTATCTACACCGGCGAGAGATTACCACCGCGCCTCGCGAATAACCACCGACTGGTCGATTCATCTAGCCGGAGATACGAACGAAGCGCATCGAAACGTGGATAGAGAACGGATTGAAAAGAGAAACGCTACCTCAACATCACTCAGATTAGCTATCTTATTAAGTGCCTACAAAGAATTGCCCATCTTATAGCATATTAACGCATCTTATATTGATAACAATTTTTGGTGTCAGCGTTGTTTTTATGCTTAAAAACAGAATTGCATTTTGTAAAACCTTTCCCAGAACAATATTTAAGATGCAAATGAGATGCATTTATCTCTGTAAAACGAGCCAAAAATTAAACGTAAGTATTAAGCAGGAATATTTACTGTTGGTACATGTACGAGTATGTACATTTACGAAAACAGTGCTCATAAAACGTGAAATGCGTACGAACGTGTCGTGAATTAGAATATAATCGGCGGTTTATCGCAAAGGCTCTTGTTGCGGCGTGCAATAAGATTAATAGATAAATACCATAAAATAATACATCTACACCCAAATCTGATGTTATAAAACTGATAAATCGTTTAATAAATTGATGTATTCTCAACCTATCTATGTTGTACAAAAAACTTAAAATGTTTCTTTACTTGTTAACTTAATCCATAATTCGGATGGAATTTGAACAACTGTTACGTGATACATTAGCACTTTTAAACTTTTCAAACATTTGAATAGTAAGTCAAAATTTGCATACCACGACGATGATGATGCTACTTAAAATTTCTAGAAATAATGATTTCACTTTTATTCACAGTTTCTACACGTTGCTTTATAATTTGCTAATATGTTACGTAAACACGTACGAGTCTTTTTTTAGTGGTTGCTGTATGGATGATGTGAGTTTAATGAACAAACCGGTACTACTCTATACTCAATAAATTGCATGACAAGATAGAAAGAAACAAGATAAAGAACACTAGTACTCACTTACTACGTCTAGGTGAAGGATTACGATTTTATTAATGAAATAAATTTGTTTGAGATCAGTTTATTGTGTCCTTGACATTACTAGAATCGCGTTTATTAATGGCATTTAAAATACACACAATTTCTTAATAACTATGTTAGATACAAACAGAGGATGTGATCCGATGAAGCATTTTATACACGGGTGGGGGGGGGTGAAATAAACCTGTGTAAAATGTGACTTTTTGGTACCTTAAGGATATAGATTATTTTTAAGCTAGTTATAAGCAAGATAATTCTGGAAATTTTTATAAATATTTGCACACATATCTGTGTAATGGAGAGATTTTTGCTACAACGACGTTAAGAATGTCGTTATAAAATTTCCACATTATTTCCACTTTCAACACCCGTATTTTCTGTTCTTTAGTATTGAAATATGTATTAAAAAAATAAGTGTACTATGACCAATTGCGTTTAAGGTCTCGCCGAGGTGCGGCACAGATTGGACTCGTATTGTGAGTGGCTAGTTATGATAAGTAATAGGTACCTGTCGTAGATCTGAAAGTCATTCGATAATTGCAAGGGATCGATTGCTGCGGATCCGTCCGATATAAAAGTTCAACGTGCTCGAGGCAAACTATTACATTTGGGGTTGAAATTTGAAAAATGTCTTTAATGATTTTGATCGACGTCGTTTATGTTATTCTACCTACATAAAAATTAAATTTAAAATATTTTATAAAATATAAAAATATATTTTATATTAATATAAAATCTTAATAATTTAATAATATGAGAATATCTATGAAGTAATTTTTTTGTGGCAATAAATTCATAGAGTTGAATAAAATAGAAACAGGTTTTGAAACGAAATGTTCCGCATAGATGTTCACGTTAGGCAACCAAGTAAACATGCCGGTACATGTTTTCCGATTACATTAAGACACTTTAATTCTGCAACGACAAAAGTTCTACACTACTACATTACTATGTACCTACGTACAATTATTATAGAATTGAAGTAATATAATAAATATCAAATATTCTTACCTTACTTTCACACACTTTGTGGCACACGTACTTGCAAACTGCAACAAATGAACAAACATGTTTAGTAAGTACTAATAAATTAAGAGATTAAAAGAGACATAATACTGTCTGAATATACCTGCTTTTAATGATTAATGATGTTTGGATTATCATGACTGAACCCAAGCAAAGATGTAATTTTTCACAACAACATTTCTAAATTATGATTGCTAATGCCGGATTAAAAACGTGGTATGACTAAAGCAATTAAAGGTGTGATGTGATGTATAGCATAGACGAATTAAAGTTACATTCGTAAATCTCAAACGATATAAATCGCATGTCACTTTGGCATGTTCCTTGGCGGAACAATGCAGGAAATCGGCTAGAAAACGTTATAAGTGCATTTATGATACAACCGCGTAATCTAATAAAAGCGTCGATGAAATAGTGCCAATGGCAAAAGGTCAAATAATAAAGTTCTATGTGGAGAGTCCCGTGTGTTCGGGAGGTTCGGGACTCGAAGCATAATGACGCCAACGCCGCCGACAATGCGCGCTGCCAGCGATGATAAATGGCGAACGATGTCGGCGGCCATTTGAAACGATTGCATTGTATGTCGCAGGCGATCAAGAAAATGTTTCTCTCTGGCCTGCGAGAATAGATGTGCAGACGCTGATCGAAATCGTCGCGACTAGCCCATAATTTTAATTAATGGCGATTAGAATTATATGCGCCGCAGTCATGAACTATTACACTCTACATTTACTGCATTGGGATAGTCAATAGTCATCTAAATTTCGAAGCAAGTGCAACATATCAGAATTTAACATGTCCGACAATTTCAAACATCTATCAAACTCCCGTTATCTGCTTCCTACCAGGTAAGCTAGAGGTGCTTGGGCACATATTAAGACGATAGTGGAACGTCATACGGAAAAAGTAATACGAGATTACCATTTCACACTAACAAACTGACAAAGAGGAAGACGGCCACGATAACGAGTTGGATAGCCTGGGTGGACAGATATCTCCATAGGTGGGAAGTAAATTATCATCTTGTACACCTCAAGCGTGTGCACAACTTCAAAAGCTTCGTGTATCGTAATTGCGCGTTTAAAGAGGTCCCCAGCTCAAATTGCTATAGTATGAGCACAAAGTATTCGAACGCTTTCCTGTTTATCTAGTAAAATTGTCATTTTCCGACTTTATGCATCAATTTCGCACGTACCCGACGATTGCTCCAAGCTATAACAACAACTTAGCATGAGTATGTAGCAAAAGTTTCACATTTTATCGGCATAATCACGGCAAGTTATTACGTGCGAATGACTTCCAATTTGCCTCGGGAACGTCTATATGTTTAAATTGTTCACGCTGCTAATGCTTTCATAAATATTATACCTGTGTGTTGTAGGCATTACGCCGAGTCATCACTATGAGGAAGCACTAGGCAAAGTAATTGCGTATAGAAAAGTTTAGGTAAGTGTCGATGGCTATACGTTCATGTTTGCTGCTACTTTAATTCCTCGCAGCACTCACAATTCTCACAGTTAGCAAAACATGTTGGACTTAGGATGTTGTTGTTAGGATCTTCATTTTCAACTTTGTACGCGAACATACTCAACATCTTCGCCGTTGATAAGAGGATAATTGGATGTTTAGTTTTGTTTGCTTAACTTGTCTTGCGCAAGTATGCGAAAGTGCAATTCAACTGTCTCTGCTCTCTGCTATTCACTTGGTTAAAACTCTGTGGTCAATGAGCGTGCGAAATACAACACAAATAAAATGCGACAATACGAAGTTGTCTTCTAAAGTGCTCTTTAAAAACCGAACACGCCCACAAATTAACTTTAATTAAAGGACGTATATTATCTCTTTCTTCGTTAATAATACGATTGATTAATTTTTCGTTCAAGCCGAAGATGTGATTAATGGCCAGTGAAGATATTTGTAAGTAAAGTTCTCTGAAATATTATGACCAAATTTGCATTTTAAAATTGCTTGGTGTGCAGTCTGCAAAGAAATATGGTCATGAAAATGAAAGAAATGACAAATGAAGTGAGGAAAATATGAATGGGGCGTATCAAGATGAAGAATGGCCCAGGTGAATGGGAGAAAAAGAAAAAACGCTTAAGAGAATGAAATGAATGAGGGTATTTAGATATTTACCTCTGCAGCACGAGCCCTGATTGAAGATTGGCTGATGGCACAGATGGCATGGTCGCGGCTTCTTGAACACTTTGCAACGGAATGCATGACCCGCTCCCACCGAATTGTTGCCTTCGGGCTGAAACATACAAGGACCAAATTAACGTGAAACATCATTATGCGAAACATAATAAAATGCGTAAACCCGGAAACTTATCTTTATGCACTTTGCACGCGAAATTATAACTTGTAAAGTTTTAATTAAAGCTGGTTATTACCTTTTATTTTCTTCCACATTGTACTCTTACGGCAAACATTGTATCTTAATTAAAACAGCATTCGTGCAAAACAATATTTTGGCATATTCTTGGAAAACAAGCACCTAAATGTAACTGAATGAAAAAATACTGTTGATGCAAGTTTAGCACAAAACCCTTGAAGTCAGACATAACAACACGGTATGATAAGTCATCGTGCTGTTCCCCAGGTCTCCCTGATCTCCCTGAGTAGGGTTTCAATAAAAATGCAATAACAGCTAGTCATTTATCTTCATAACCTGTCATTGAAACAGGGAGATGAGAGCGGCATTGTTAAACGATTCGCAAGTTATTTGATCTTGCGAATAGGGTTTTGTCAGGAACCGAATTCCAAACAGAAATAGTTTCACCTATTTCCACATTCCTTGAAATCCCGACTTTGGGCTATGCAGACAGCGAAACACAACTCGCTTCAAATTATGACACATTTACAAGTAGCGTCAAATACTGTATTCTTAAAGTTAAATCTCACCTCCCATATTTTAAATGTACCAGAAATGGACAATTAAAAAAGTATACATAATCGCAATCTCATATTGTTCACAGTTGTGTTATGTTATTTCCTGAAGTTTGCTAGTCATATAAATTGCATAGTGTTCGATATTATGAATAATTGAGGAAGTGGCGATCCGCACGCAAACATGTGATATTATAGAAATTGCACGAGTTGCAAATAACGAAAACTAGAAATAAACACGTAATCATAATTCACTGCTGAAAAACTACTCTCTGTTAAGGTAAAATTTCCAAAGCCCCAGGTTCCCAACAATAGGAAAGTAAAAGTAATTTAATTTCCTCCCGTCAATGTTTTTCTTGCAATAAATGAGAACAATGAATCGTATCGAATTTGTTTACGTCGGCAATTTCCTCAATTCAAGAGGGTTAATTTATTCGGTTCCACTTGAGTTTGTCTGTGTATTGTAAAAATTACGCGTTGGGAATGTAAACATTATATGCTTGCACAGAGTGTGTATTATGTAGTATCAAGGTGATGTCGCCATGTGTTAGGCACGAATGGTTATTCCAGCTGGCCGTGGATAAATTTGGGGGGTTGAAAATGTCGCAATGTTACAATACCCTACTAATAGGTACTGTCACAATTTGATTTGAAGTTGATTTGAAATATCTACATTCAAAACAAAAATCATTCAACTTTTGCAGCCAAAGTAGCAACCAAAGAACTCTCGATACTTATTAAACAACAATTTTTAATATAAACTAAGCAATGTATAAAAGCTTTTTCATGCTTTTTTTAGATAAACATGATCCACATAAAGTAATAAAAATCGATAATGTACACACTTTTCCATCTTGCTTAAATTTTATTCGCGTATAATGCGGCAATTGAAAAAATATTTTGTGTTTATATTTATAAGCCAATGTGTACATACCACTCGTCTGCGCCAAAAAAGTTTGTCGGTTCTTTGTTTGTTCTAAAATTATGCTATAAAGAACCAAATGCTGAAATCCCGCAAATGTTTATTATCCATACAAATATTTTATCAAGTACTTTCCAGACAACTTCAGCTTGAACGTCTTGCTTAAAACTTTTTGGTAGTTTAAACGATAAACTAAACCTTCTAAGAAATCTAAACGTTCGCTTAGAACTTTTGCAACCGGAAATCCATCGATATAAAATTTCCATTGTTTGAAAAGCGTGCACGAGCATCGGAAACTCTTTATTTCCGTCATTACAGCACACGAAGAAAACTTAGCACTTTGATCACATTTCAAAGGCGCAGATCACCACAAAGAGCAAAAGATTGAAGCAAATTCTTTGTGTCTTTGCGATTTAACTACTTTTGTTCGAATGCGCAGTGCACATGCCTTTGACACTGTAGCTTAACGATCAGCATATGCATTTATTGCCATTAAAAAAAGACTGGAGAAGCAGGCGTAAGCTGTTCGAGTTATTATTATCCCACAAAAGTAGCAAAACAGCATCTTGCAAGAAAGCTGAACCATGAACTATATGCCTATAATATCGCAAAAAGAATGTTTGTCGAACAGTATGCAGTTTGATTTATTTTAGAATTTCTTTACCAGTGACATAAACATAAATGTGCATGTCGCCTGTTTTGAGAGGAAACTGAATTGAATTTTGAACGTATTAAATTGTGCAACCGTGCAGTGCACTGCAAGTTCAAGACATTCAGCTTGTGTACATCGACAAAGAACAGAATATTTGAGTTCAATTCTCTATTTATTGTCTGATATCTGAAATATGAAACGTAAAGTGGAATTCATATTTTTAAGCCATGCCAAAATGAAAACAAAAATCTGTAAAGTTTAAAATAAAATACGAAATCAATACACAACCCTCCAAAACTCTGGGCATCCAGTAAAAAACTTATTCATATTGGAGTTAATTTATACAACAGACATTCTTTGCAAGACAATATTTTTGTTTCCTAAGAAATATGCGCGTGAACTTTGCAAGTTCCAATTATATTGCATTTTATTGACATACGAGAAAAATGTGAGTACAATAGAAGTGCAAATTTATATATTGCCACATATGTCAGCAGTTGAATATAAAGAATGTATTAATGCAATCTCGGGTTCATAATCACAACCCACGCGAGAACTTGCAATGCAGTTGACCCGACAAGAAGAAGTTTGACTGCCGGACCGTACGGCGTGGATAAATGACTTATACGACAATCATAATGCGGTATAAGTGCGCAAAGTTTATTCGGTTTCGCCTTGATGGCGTAATTCGATACAAATCTGAAGAATTTCAAATTCGTGCACCCACCCAACTTGAAATACACCTACGTGACATAAAGGCTCAAATATTATTAAATGCGAGCTGAGCGTAGCGGCACAAATCGATTTGTGAAAATGAATCAACACCACTTACAATTGGTCGTTAACAAATTTAATTACATCTACAAAAACTGTTTACACTGTTCCTTTTTTAAAATTTTCACAAATTGTAAAAACGTCATTTCTTTGCCCACCTGTATAGCTATAAAAAATGCCTGTTTAAGATTTTTTTCTGCACGCTATTTTAAATTACTTTAAGAATGAGCTACGTTTACCACTACCCTTATTCAATAGTGAGTATACCTTGAATAATGTGCATTTAAATCATGCAAAAACTTCATTTTAAATGCAAATTCATTGAAACCGAATTCCGCAGCAACAAATTGAGGCTGTCTGGGCTGCCTGAAAAATTGAACATCGCGTGTTTAATATAAAGGCAACGTCCTGCGGTGCTCGATTCCTGCGCTGCGGTAGTGAGGTGAGTCTTGACGTTCCAATTGTAGCATCACTCCACCGAGCTTCCCTTGCTTCCGCGACTTCCTTGGCAGGCCTCACTTTGGAATCGCAAATTTAAGAGTTTCCTGTAGTGCAGTTGTCTACATGCAGCACTCGCGGTACTTCAGTCGGCGATTGTGACGGCGGTGCAATATCAACACAGCGTCTGCGTCGCACGATACGGCTGTTTTTAAAATGTGCACAATGGGAAATGTAGAATAATGAATTATTCATCATTTCACAAACGAGAAAATCCTTCTTATCTTCGCATGCACGACGGAGCCGCGTTGTGGACAAGCATGACGTATAAATCATACGCGAATTAAAAACAGAAAAAGGCACTGCAGGACGTACGGAATATGAATTTTCACGCGAGGATAAAGACAGCGTTTTAATAAGTTTTAAAAATTTACTGAAAATTTCAGACAAAGCCCTAAATTTAAAATTTAAAATTCGAACGCCAAGTTGTATGAAAGAATCGTTTACATATAAGTTTAATAATAAAAGACGAAATAAACAACTATACAATATCGTCTCTGGTGCATTTTATGTGCTTAGCCTTGATCAAATATTTTATTACGAGTTTAAGGTACAGCAAGATGGGATCGGTTAGTCGTTGTTAGTCCGCAACTGTTGCAAGTACCTCGTAAATTTACCAACTTTATTGTAACATTTAAATGTGTTACAAAACTCAATATTATATGTAATATCTACTCCTGTGATTTAACGCCAATTATATATTCGTATTTATGTTTCCTTTTACTTCACTGGACTATCGTAATATCCTTTCATGTAATGCATTAGTGTTGGATCAAAATTGAATTTTAATGCACATAAAACGGCAAGTGATAATATATTGAAGCAATCAAAATTCAAATTATCAATTATTTTATTTAAATCTGAACATGTTTGCACTATCATATTATCACTTAAGATACGACTTAAGATAAGACTGTCTATTTCCCGGATAATCATGTTGTACTGACAACAAAAAATGCAACCACAGAAGTTGCCAAAAAGTTACTGACCTGCATTTCGTCGCAATGAATTTTAAGAATTGAAAACAAAGCCGATGTCGAAACGTCTGTCGTTGTCGGAACAATAGCGACAAGGAAACATTGAACTTATCACAAAAACGCTTGAAAAACTAAACTCCGTATACAATCTGTCCAAAAAGTGACCCAAAACTTATGAAGTGGAACCAGAATTAATAGACTATTTCAACTTGATTGGCGTCGGTTCAAGCGTGAAATGTCACTGCTTTATCAAAAAAAGTGCAAACTTTAAAAAACCACTAAGATTACAGTTAAAAATCATTTCAGATCGTATAAACCCTATGATGTACTTTTTAATAACTTGAAGAGTTTACAGCCGAAAACTTAGCAATCTCTCCATGCTTGAAATTCCGACAAATTTCTTCATATTTTGACTTTAAAAATTCGTTGCA